TGTTATGTTATGTGTCGATGATCTTAGTTAAAGGCAGGGTTTTTGTTCACAACATCCACGATGAAGCTATATTTGATCTTCAGCAGACGTCTGCCAGTCGGGTTACGGAATTGGAATAATTGTGCACGAGAGGTTTGTTGATGTTTATGGCACGCCAATAACCCTGTGGCCAATATGGTCCGTTTATAGCCTGGTTATTTGTATCGTCAGAAATCACCAATTTGGAGTTATTTAGGGTTTCCACAATATATTTTAAAAAAAGGGAGGATACTGATTCCAGTGGCCAGGTCACGTTGTGTTGTCGCAGAGCCAATTAATATTTTTTTCAAAAATCACGTAGGAGCAACGCGAAATATATTTTTTGAAGAAAATTTTATCACTTTAAAGTTGATTTAACAACGGGATGCAAATGATAAATGTCGATTTTTTATAAGGATTTTTCGTCTGCTCACGTTCAAGATTTTAATAGAAAAGAAAGATTATTTTACTTGAAAGGCTTAAGCTATTAAGTTAGCAGCAGAAAAATGTCAACAAAGAGAAGAATAAAGTTTTGTAGTTATCGTTTTTGGTAATGTTGCCAGCTTCGAATAAGGTCTAATCGATGTATATACCACATTTAAAAGAAACAAAATGTATTATTTTGATGAAAATAAAGCTGTAGATTACGAATAACCACATCAGAAAATTGTTTTGAGTGTATTTCTAGTTAATAGAAGTGAATTAAATTGTGATCGGTAGTGTAATTTTATTACTAGTGGAGACTCAAACCATTACTATACTACTGAGGTGAGTATAGTAAGTGGGATATCAATGAAGAGAAAAATGAAATTTATGAATGAAATGTCAATGCGAATCAAAACAAAAACTATATTGATAGAAGAATAGACTGACATAGAGAAAATACGCATTTGTGGAATTTGGGCGTGAAATGTCTCTCAAAATTTTTATGAATTAACTGAATAGTAATGTGAAATAAAGTGGACAATCGAGTATTTAGTTTGGTTTCAGACACCAAAGAATGGAAGGTGTACGGAATGTCGGATAAAACTTAGAAGCAAAGCTCTGGCCGATTGTGGAGTTATCCTAAATCCGAGTGTGTGAAAGACGTGTATAAGAAATAAGAAGAATAAGATTATCAAAACAAAAAAGATTTATATTGGGTAAAATTCAATTGTGAAATATATTATTTTAAATGGCTAACTGAGACTGATTTTGTCCAAATAAAAATGTGAGGATTTAAATTAAATATTTAATTTTAAGTGCCTTTTAATAATGCTAGCATTTCCAATCCAGATTTGGTATCTTATTTTAATAATTTTATTTTCAGTAAAAAAATTATATTGCCCACTTTGTAAGGGGATTGTGGATAATAGATGTAATAAAAATTATTTAATAATCTTTTGGCTGTTTGTATAAAACGTCCCTTACAAAAACCGCAAGTGGCTATCGTTAGAGTACTCCAGCATTTAAATGTGAGAAAGAAAATAGACTCAAAAGAGCCAAAAAGTTGCTTCGCTTTGCCGAAAGTGGTGAACTGCCGAATTTGGGTTTCTCCGATGAGAAAACATTCGTTGTCCAGCAGCTTGTAAATAAACAAAATGATCGTGTTTACTTGCCAAAAAGGTCAGCCGAAAATTTGCACCTTCGGTTGGCCACCAGAACTCATGCGCCGGCCTTGTAGGCCTCCATAACAGCCGATGATCGCTCTCCGCTCGCATTAATCGATCATCAGAATAAATGCTGAATATTATCGCGAAAATATTCTAAAGCCTTGGACATTCCAAAGTGAGGTTCCTCGCTTCATTTCCAGCGCACAATGGATACCAAAATCTCCGAATACCAATCCGTTGGACTTTTGTATCTGGGGTGTTTTGGAAATCAAGGTTGGCACCAAAAAAAAAAAATACCAAAGTGTCGATCACCTCAAACAAGCGCTTTGCCGGGAATGGGCCAAATTACCGCAAAGCAACATTCGGTCAGCGTGTGACGGTTTTATTGGCCGTACCATAATTCTTGGCAAAGGTGACCAATTCAAACAAATCTAAACTTATATAAATTTGATAAGAGAGAGTACATAAAGGCTTTTTTGAATGGCTTAAGTCACGTCTGGTTGAACCAGATTCTTGCAGGTACTGGAACATTTTTTAGTTATTTATCTATTATTTTTTTGAAATTGAAATTTTACTGTCAAGATATTTGACAGTTGTTCCACGTTTTTTGCTATAGTAGAAGAGGGCAATTTTGAATTTAAACAAAAAATGTTGGCAATTAGATCTTGCATTGTCAAAACGTTTATTTATAAATCCATTGTTTATACACTAAACAGAGGTGGGAATCTTTATTCAATGAAGTTAAATTTCACAATGTAATTTACAGAAAAATGCAGAGATGGATGTTGTGTTTTGAAATTAAGTTAACTTGATTTAATTACACCATAAAATAATCTAAGAAATTTGATTAAATTATATTATTTTATTAAATGCCGGCCATGTATCGGACGATATGTGTAACTTCTGGAAAATTTGACACAGCATATGTAAAAATAATTCGTCCGATAGAGCCTTAAGTTTGCAAGTCTTGATGACTTTGTTATTTTATTTCTGCAGTTAAAGTCGCAAAGCGCCATTTAACCGAACAATTGTCAACTAGTATAGTCATATTATAGCATATGCATCAATTTTCCTATAAACTTCCTAAAAATATGCTATGTTCTTGAAAGCGATATAAAATGGTCGATAATAGCGTTACCCATAAGTGTGGGGCGTATCTACACCAATACAATTGGCCGTATTTTGTGACACCATGTTTACACTGAAACAGTATTACCAACATCAACAAAATCTCTCTAATTAAATTTGAATTATTACTTTAACATGCTATACCATGGCAGAAGAATACAGGTAGATGCATCAAAGCTTGCAAACATTTATATGTATAAAATTTGCATTTTTTTTTCAAAAATAAGTAGATTTTTATTTTTTTTTATACAATGTCAATCGGAGGTTATTATAATATGCATTTTTCAACAACATTTAAAATTTTAAATAATTTTTCATTCAAAATTTTTAATTTCAAAATTGGTTTGACAGTCAGTTTATTGTTCCGTCTGCCTGTATTCTTTTACCATGTGCTATACGTTGCTATACACTGGGCAAATATTTGATCGAAATTTGTTTAGCCATATTTGTCTGAACAAATGTGAAATTCATGCAGAGTTGATTCGATGTTCACATTACAGTCAAATATTTGACAGATTTTGTTTGTTCAAGCAGTCACCAAACAGCGTCAAATAGTGCTATTGGAAAACATGTTTGACATATGTTCAGATTCGTGAAAAATATTTTCGCTACGAAATTCTTTAATCGAACTGTGAGGAAACATACGTTTATTTGATCGAGAGAAATATAGAGAGAAAATGAAAGAAAGATATAAATAAAATGGAGTTTTGGGTGTAATTTATTTTGAAGAAGGGAAAAAATACCAGCTGTTGTGAAATAAATGCCTTGCCAGAACAACTTTTTTTTGCATTTTTGTATGTTTATATTTGTGCGCATAAGTATGCATAGGTTTACAATTTTTTCAAATTTATACATTTGACAACATCTTATTGTCGAAATCTATATTCACACAAAATCAGAGATGGGAACTGTTTTTAAGCCTTAAAATTTGACAAGGTAAATTACAGAAAATACAGAGCTGGGAATGCTAATTTGAAATGAGGTTATCTTTATTTCATTGTACCATGCGTTCATTTTCAGAATTTGAATTATTAAATTGAATATGCAGAAGAATCGTTCATAAACTATTAAATTTTAATGATTTCACATCATTCGTCTGAATGTACAGGGTGAGATAAAAAAACTGCATCAAAGTTGAACGCCATAATTTTTACATTTTTTTACATTTTATTGAAATGAACGCAAAAAATGTCGGAAACAGCATCAAATTTTAGAATAAGTTTAGATTTGTTCGAATTGGTCACCTTTGGCACGAATTATAGGCTTCAAGTTCTGGTGGCCAACCGAAGGTGCACATTTTCAGCTGACCTCTCTGGCAAGTAAACACGATCATTTTGTGCCCAAGGCTTTAATACTCTAGAATATTTTCGCGATAATATTCGGCATTTATTCTGATGCCACGGTCGAATAATACGAGCGGAGAGCGACCATCGGCTATTATGGCACCATCACCATGGCCGGCGCCTGAGTTCTGGTGGCCAACCGAACCGGTGCACATTTTCAGCTGACCTCTTTGGCAAGTAAACACGATCATTTTGTTTGTTTACAAACTGCTGGACAACGAATGTTTTCTCATCGGAGAAACCCAAATCCGGCAGTTCACCGCTTTCGGCCAAGCCACTGTCGGAAGTAACTCTTTAGCTCTTTTGAGTCTATTTTCTGTCTGTTGCGGTGTAATTTCTTGCACATTTTGGAATTTCAACGGTTTTACCCCGAGCTCATTTTTTAATATTTGCCGAATGGAATATTGCGATATGTTCAGTTCACGAGCTATTTTTCGGCCACTACGACGCGGGTTTCGATCAAGTCGCCTCTTTACTTTTCGAACCATTTCTGCTGATGTTGCTGTTTTCTTCCGTCCACTTCCTTGACGTCAGGCTACGCTACCAGTATCACTGTAACGAGCGATGGTACGAGACACAAAAGATTTATTCACATTTAAATGTTGGAGTGCTCTACCGATAGTCACTTGTGGTTTTCCAGCCAAATATAAAGAAATCACACTATCACGCTTGAATTCCATCACGAATAACTTTTTTGCTGGAAAATTCTCACCAAAATGTTTTTGTACGCTTGTAAACAATATAATGAGCTGTCACTGAAATAATTTTAACAGCTGTCGGATGAGTGACTTAGAAATGACAGCAAGCTGAAGTTGGTTGCAATTTTTTAATCTCACCCTGTATGTAATAGCCGGCCATTGCGTCAATTCAGAAGCTTTTATTGTGCCAAATCGTTGGCATAACCCCGCCGTTACATTTATCATCAGCAACGCCGTTACCGGTACACAAAGGCCAGACTGCGGTTTGTGTTTGACACTTGTATTGTCAAAGTTTACCAGAGACAAGTAAGTCTGCGCGAAATTATATAATTTTACTTTAACGAAATAAATTATTTTTTATTCTTTCTTTTCTTTTTGGAACAATAAAAGCAACAAACTAAAACAATGGCCGAAGAGAAATTAACCGGTTTGTCCAAATACTTCAACGGCTCGACCACTGCTGGCCGTGCTAATGTAAGTAGTCGTCATGCACGACTGTGATATGTTATCCAATCAGAAATAAGTAAGGAAATCAATTTGCAATTTTTTGTTTGCTATTTCCAGGTTGGAAAGGCCACATACGCCGTTGTTGGTTTGATCATTGCCTACAACATGATGAAACCCAAGAAGAAGTGAACTTTTTCAATAAAGTTTTCAGCATGTGGAGTGTGTTTTCTTTGAAACACCTCCCTTCATCATCATCCTCTGGTTGACATTTTTTCAGATGAAGACGAGTAGTAGTTTGTTAAAACAATAATTTATTTTTGCGTGGATTTTGCACATTCAGAATCTTACTTACTGTTTATTGAGAGTTCTGTGAACCGAGGATCATTTTCGGAGTGCGCGTTGACGTTAATAAAACCAACAAAAAAACTTAAAATTGCAATATTTTATTACAACAAGTGCTTGGGGAAAAGTGAATGGTTGGACCGAACAATAATTATTTTGAAGGTTATGTTAAAAACTTCAACTAATATGAAATTATGACTGGATAAGCCGGACCAGGTCCAGTTTATTACATATGGAAGTGAGTAAAAATGCCTGCGGACGTTTGAAATAAATCTACTGTAGTACCTACAATCATCCAGAGTCTCATCTCCTGCTTAAAGGGAAAAGTTCAAACAATAAAAAAATAATAAAAACAAGAAAATTTTTGGAAAATATGAATGCTGAAGCGAGAATAAAATTCTCCCAAAATCTACTTTCCACATCGCATGTATAAGTTAATACATGCATATTATGTTTATATTACGACTGCATATGATTCCTTATTGAACTACAAGTCCTGATCTTAACTGCCAATAAATAGATATAACATCTACAGTAAAACAACTAAATAATTGTTAGATAAATTACTGATCTTTAGAAACACTAGATATAATAATTTGACGCTCATTTGAGGTTATGTTCACTGGCTGCTAACGGATAATAGAGTTATGTTTTATCCATGAAGGAGGTATTAGGATCTAATTTGGCCATACTTCCCGAGCATTTCCAATGTTTGTAAGAGCAACTCAACCAACCTAAATACTACATGTTCCAATTTTTTAATGCCAAAGAAGTAGTTGAGTCATGAGTACATTTGATTTTGAACTATGCCTTTATGTACGATAGGAGTCATAATTTTTACGGCTAGAATGCAGTTCTATCTGCATCTCAACCACGTATTTGCATTAGTCCGTTGAAGTGAAGTTTTTGTTCATATATTTGAAACAAGCAAAAAGGGAAAGGAGTTAAACTTACATTTTTTGGGGATCTCCACAGAAACGCATTCTCAGTCGATTATTACATGTAAGTTCTAGTTGGCAGCAGACTATAGTACCAACGGTTTCCTACTTGCCAGTTAGGAATCAGAACTACAGAGTCCCTTAATGTGATCCCCAAAGATTCCTCCTAGAAAAAAGTTGAGATAGGGAGGCATAGAAAGTAGGCAAGAAAGACCTTCCATCCAGTTTCGATATTGTTGTTGTTGTAGCCGTAGTACATGCAAGTGTTTGCGTTCTGCTAATCTGGTTCCAGGTTTAGAAATTCGACTACTTTAATGGGCTGTAGCCAGAGATCTTCTGGAGTGAGTTGGGTAGGTTTGGCTGTGCAAGTAAAGAGGTGCAGCGTATTGTGCGGGCCTGTATCGCACGCCGGGCAGGCGTCAGGCACATCTTCTTCAATTCGTGCCCAATACGAATTGAGACGACTACACCATCCAGAACGTAATTGCGCCAAAACTATCCTGGTTTGTCTAGGTAGCTGACCTTCTTCAGCTGCAATGGATGGGGTGGACTCCGAGAACGGCATTCATTTTATAATAAAATACCAATCGAATACCAATCCGTTGGGCTATTGTGTCTTACCTGCATTGTTTCAAATTTGACGATAATAGCGACATTATTCACCGGAAATATTTCAAATTTGGTATTTAAAGTTTTTAATGTATACTACAGTCTAAGACAGAAAATTTTCCGAGCAGCCAGATCGCCAGAAGCCCTCATTAACGGTACCTCCGGATATTCGGTATTTTGTTGATTTTAGCGACATTATTCACTGGAATTGTTTCAAATTTGGTGTTTGAAGTTCGTAATGGATACTACAGCCTACAAACCGAAAATTGTCTGTGCGGGTCCACGTCTTCGTATAGCCCCAATATAACGGTACCTCCCTATATTCGGAATTTTGATGATTTTAGATACATTACTCACCGATTTTTTTTATTCAAGTTTCGCATTTGAATATCGTAATGGTTTATAAGAAAAGTTGCCTATACAGGTCCACGTCGTCTTATAGACCCTGACATAACGGCTACATTCGTTATTTTTAAGATTTTAACAGAATTTTTAAAGGATTTTATTTTTGTTTTTTTTTTTTTTTAAATTGCCAAAATCGTTCCAAATGGTGGGAGGTATTCAAAGATCGGCCCGGCCGAACTTACAGCTTTTTTACTTGTTAAGATTCCTTTTTACGAATGAATACGAGCGATCATTGGTTTCCGAGACATGTGATCGCCAGAAACTTTAATTAGCCAAATAATGGTTTTCCTGTAAAAAGACTCCAGGGAAATACATCTGGGGCTGGGCTTGTTCTATGGAAATATGAAATGAAAAATATTTCCTTTCCTTTATTAAAGTTTTCATTTCATATTTTCATAGAACAAGAATTGAGGCCCTGGTTATAGTTATAGTCTTAGAAACACAAATTTTCAATAATGCCCACTTTATGTAACCCTACCTTTCAACATTTTTTTCCACCCCAATTAAAACATTTACAATTTAAGTTTTTTTATTCGTTTTTGTTTTCTTTATATTTTTATTTGGAAAATGTTTGCAATAATTTCATCATATGCTTTTTTGTATTTATTATTTTTTTTTTAATTTTTTGTTGTTGTTGTTTAACATCATGTTACAGAAAGAGTTGTTGGTTGGTTGTTGTTTTGTTTGTTTGTTGGTTGGTATGCAATTTTATAATGTAATTTCGAATAGATATTTTGTTGTTTTTGTTTGTTTGTTTGTTTGTGTTAATTATATATGATTCTCTTCTCACTTCGAAAATTAGGCTGCTGTATGACCTACTACGGTTTTCGGTTTTATGTTGGGCTTTTTTTATTGTTGTATTTGTTTGTTTTTTTTTCTGTTTTTTTTTTCATTTTAATAAAAAATATTTTTTTGTTATTCAAAGTGGTTTTGCATCATTTTTGTTTTATATAGTAATAATAATATAAACTATTTTTTGTTGTTGTTTAAAAAATAATAATGATTATAAAATGACAAAAATAATTAGGAAAAAAATAAAAAAATTAAAAATATATATATTTATTTTTTGTATATGTGTAAATCTGTTAAGATAGTTATTTGTTTGTAATTTCTTATAATTCGTGTTAGATAATGAGGGGAGAGTTTATTTGTTAAATGTGTGTGAATTTATTTTTATATGTATGTATGTGGGGAGTGTGTATGTGTGTCCTTCATTAATTATTAATAATAATCATAGAATGACGTTTTTTTTGTATTTTATTATTATCTGCTTTTTGTTGTTGCTGCTAATTCTTTTTTTATTTATTTTTTGTTTGTTTGAAATTCATATAATAATTTAATAAAAATATATATTATATTCATTAAAATTATCCATTATTTTGTTTATAAAATAAAAAAAAAACTGAAAATAAAAACATAATTAAGAATAAAAAATTATATATTTATGTTATGCTGTATTTTATGTATATTTTGTTGTTGTTGTTTTTGTTTGTATGTAATATGAATTCATTTAATATATCCCAAAACTCTTCGGTTGGGTTAATTATTTTTCTTTATTTCATTTTGTTTTCCTTTTAATTTTCAAAATATTAGGTTATGTTTTTTGTTTTATTTTATAACTCCTCATCTTCCAGCTCTGGTTGTTGCCAAAAATGAGGGAGAGTATAGGGGAGAGTGAGCTAACGGTTAAGTCGTTCTCATTTTTGTTTTCCTTTAAAGAGTTTCTGTATTTCTTCTGGCCAAAGAAATGTAACAGCTATGCTTTTTCATTGTTGTTGTTGTATGAACTCTTTTGCATTTTCTTTTTTCTTCTTTTATTTTGTAATTAATAAAGTAATGTGTTTAAGAAATTGTTTTAAACTTTAGTTTTTTTTCTTTTTCTTCTTGTTGTTGGTTTGTTTCATAAGTGTTTCTATCCTGTTCGCCGGTTAACAAACGTGTGTGTGTGTTTCTTTTTGTCATTATACATCTTGGTTTTTGCTGGGGTAGTTTTTTTGCGTTTTTGTTTTCTTTTTAATTTATTTCATAGGACTGAAAGGGAAAGTCCAGAATATTCCTTGGAAAAGTTTATCCTTTTTTATTTAAGGGTAATTTTGTCGCTTCTTTCTCGTAGTTCTTCTTAAAAGTAGTCTTATGGCTGAATACTCTTTTCCATACTCATCCATGCTTGGTAAATTTTATTTTTCCTTTTGAAGTTATTCCATATTTCTTGTGTTCCTTTATTTCGTTTTGAATTAATTTTTTTGTAATAGAAAATAATTTGTTTTTTCATTTTTGTTAATGCATATTTGTTAATTCCTTTATAAATTATTTTCTATTAGCTGTGTGTGGTTCGTGGAGAGGGGGATTTTTTTTGGCTAAACAAACAAAGAAAAGCGCCTTTTTATAAACTTACTTTCGTTATTTTGTTTATTTTAAATTTTTAATAAATTTGCCTTTTGTCTATGTTGTTTAATTGTGATTAGCTGAAACAAAGAAAATATTATTTTAATTAATTTTTTTTATTGAAAATATCATTTTTTAATTAAATGTTGTGGTGAGGTGGATAAATGCAGGTCTAATGAGAGGTGGATGAGTGGATCTTAACAAAAAGTATTAAATTAAAACAAATATACAGGGTGATATGATGAACAAACAAATATACAGGGGGAGGTACGAGAAGAAGTGTGCCGATAAATTCCATATTCACATCAGATCTCTGGTTGAGAGAAATATTGGGATGTACAAAGTTTGAAAGTAATCGGATGCTCCTTTCGCCTCCTTTGACCCGTTGTAAGGGAGGTACCAGAAGGAGTTGTCCCGTTATTCATACTAGATCTTCTGTTGGTAGAAATTTCAATACAATCGGACTCTTATATCACGTTATGAGAGTTGTCATTATTCAAAAGTTGGCCTTTGTGGGGGAGGTACTTGATACATATATACAGGGTGAGATGGGAAAACTGCAACCAACTTCAGACTGTTGTCCATATGATATGGAGGCCATGGCGGATTTTTGAATACCAGTATTTATAAAAATAAGTCCCAAATACCTGAGGGTGGTTTCAATATGGGAGAATGAGAAGCCCAAGTCGTTCAGTCGGACATTTCTAACCTCGAATTGCTACGCTTGATTGTCAGTTCAAATTTCTCAAAAAAGTCTCGGCACAAATTCAAGAACCTCTTGTTAGGCAAATGGGACATCAATCAAAAACTGATCCTATTCCAAAGTATGAGAAAAGTGTCACAATTTTCGCTACAGAAGATGGATCTTGTCACTCAAGGTCTTTTTTCGTAAACCAAATGCTCAACATAATTCCGTCCGTTGAATTTCCAGGCCAATACACCACATAGCGAGAGTGCAGCAATCCAAATTTTAAAAGAATATGTGGGATTGATTTCATGTGCGAAAGAAACTTAACCTAGTTGTTTATCTGGTGTTAACCACCCACATGTTTTCTGAAGCCTGGAAAGTGAGCAAGAAGGTCCCGCTACTGAAGCCTGTGAGGATTCCAGCGAAAGCGATAATACAAAGCCAACTTCGCCAATAGAAAGACTCTTGAGGTTTTACTCCTTTCCATCTATAAATACGGATTCCATCCCCAACATAGTACCACAGCAGCATTGCGCATCATTACCATATGTATCAGTCGAGGATTAAACCAGAACAAGCCGTGTTATAAATGGAAACGGGGAGTGCCCAAGATGGGGTGATATCTCCGGATCTATTTAACCACTACCCTACCGGAATTCCTCCCCTTTCCCCAGACGGCATAGGGATCTAACGTATGCAGATAATTGCACGATCATGGCGTCAGGGCCTGTTGTTGAGGACATATATTTAAGAATGAACACCTGTCTTGCGGAGCTTCCAAGCGAGGGATATGAAAATATTCTGCCACTAAGTCACGGCCATACTTTTTACCACATGGTCAGTGGAGATGAGATCACAGCTGAATGTGCAGGCCGAGTCGTCCACGCAAAAGTAGAAACATTACAAACTGCTGGACAACGAATGTTTTCTCATCGGAGAAAACCAAATTCGGCAGTTCACCACTTTCGGCCAAGCTACTTTCGGAAGCAACTCTTTAGCTCTTTTGAATCTATTTTCTTTCTGTTGTGGTGTAAGTTCTTGCACTTTCTTGAATTGCAATAGCTTTACCCCAGCTCATTTTTCAATATTTGCCGAATGGAATATTGCCATATGTTCAGCTCACGAGAGATTTTTCGGCCACTGCGACGCGAGTCTCGATCAAGTCGCTTCTTTACTTTTCGAAGCATTTCTGCTGATGTTGCTGTTTTCTTCCGTCCACTTGCTTGACGTCGGTAACGAGCGATGCTACGAGACACAAAAGACTTCTTCACATTTAAAGATGGAGTGCTCTAACGATAGCCACTTGTGGGTTTTCAGGCAAATATAAAGAAATCACATGATCACGCTTGAATTCCATCACGAATAAATTTTTTTCTGGAAAATTCTAACCAAAATGCTTTTGTACGCTTGTAAACAGCTGTCGGACGAGTGGCTTAGAAATGACAGCAGTCTGAAGTTGGTTGCAGTTTTTTCATCTCACCTTGTATAGCCATGCCAACGTACGGGAAGAACCTTCGCCTTCTCATGCAAATGGTCCACTGGTGTCACGAGGAGGCACCCTGTCGCAGGTCTCAGGTCAACATTCAGGCAGGTCTGGATATTCCCCTGTATTAGCAGACCACACTGGGGCATCATAGCTACCCACAGACCGAGCTATTGCGTTATAAAGGGTCAAGAAGGTCTCACTGTCCATAGCACAAGTGCCGCCGTCGCTAGCGCCATGAGGACCAAAATGATCGTGTTTGAACGTGTCAAAGAGGTTAGTTGAATATGTGCACCTTCGGTTGGCCACCAGAACTCAAGCGCTAGCCATGGTGATGGTGTGGGCCGCCATAACAGCCGATGGTTGCTCTCCGCTCGTATTAATCGAGCGTGGCATCAGAATAAATGCCGAATATTATCGCGAAAATATTCTGGAGGGTGCATTAAAGCCTTGGACAGGCAAACATTTTGGCCGCAGACTTGGACATCCCAACAGAATTCCGCACGATCGGACTCAGCACGCGCTGAGGTTCCTCGCTTCATTTCCGGCGCACAATGGCCACCAAAATCTCCGGATACCAATCCGTTGGACTATTGTGTCTGGAGTATTTTGGAAAGCAAGATTGGCAGTAAAAAATACCAAAGTGTCGATCACCTCAAGCAAGCGCTTCACCGGGAATGGGCCAAAATACCGCAGAGCAACATTCGGGCAGTGGTTTCATTGGCGGTTTGAAGGCCATAATTCGTGCCAAAGGTGACCAATTCGAACAAATCTAAACTTATTCTAAAATTTGATGCTATTTCCGACATTTTTTGCTTTCATTCAATAAAATTTAAAAAAATTTAAAAATTATGGCGTACAACATATAATGTTATTACAAAAGCAACCAATGATAGCCGAGGATATACTGGATTTAAAATAATGTATAAAATTTTAGAAACCATTATAAGTTCTGAAATTTTCCCCCCGATTTCAACATATATATCGAGAGCTATGGCCTTATTCCCAGGTGTCTGACAAAAGTGAAAGAGAACTAAGTGTCGAGCAAGCGCTTCGCCGGGAATGGGCCAAAATACCGCAGAGCAACATTTGGGCAGAGTGTGATGGTTTCTTTGAAGGTTTGAAGGCCATAATTCATACCAATTCGGACAAATCTAAATAAATTCCAAAAATTTTATTCTATTTCCGAAATTTTTTGGTTTCATTCAATAAAATTAAAAGAAAAATGTAAAAATTATGGCGTTTGACTTTGTTGCAGTTTGTTTTTATCTCACCCTGTATATTGTTGTTACAATGATGGCCGAGGATAAACTGGATTTAAAATAATGTATAACATTTTAGAAACTATTATAAGTGTTGCAATTTTTCCCCGAACATATATATCAACAGCTATGGCCTAATTCCAGGTGTCTAACAAAAGTGAAATAGAACAGAAATTGGTTGGCGAGTATTAGACTAACAATGAACATGTGCAATACAAAAGCAGAACAAATATTTTCACTGCAGGCATATGTGAATAGGAATTAAATATAAACGCAAAAGGCAAGCAGCAATACACTATTAAACACACAAAATAACCAATAATAAACAAATTAAAGAAAAATGAAGAAATAAAAAAATGGTTGGTATTGTTTTGTGCTTTTCGCATATAAATATATAAATTTATTCAAATTTTAGCATATTTTTTTGTTGATGTTGTAATATATTTTGTTGTGGTTGTTTAAGTTAATAATAGTTATAATAATATATTTAATATTTCTTTAGCAAATAAGATTACTTTGTTTTTGTTTTGTTTTCTCTGTTTTGTTTCGTTTTTATTCTTCCTAATTTTAAAGAGTAGATTCTTCTTTCAAAAAAACATTTTAAATATATAAATTAAAAAAAAGTATAATGTGCAATTATTGCATTATTATTATGATTAAGTAAGTAAATTAAAGTTTTGTTGATTTTTGTTTTGTTTTCTTTTCTTTTGTTTAGTTCTTTTTGTTTGTAAAACATTAAATTAATGAACAATTTCAAATCAAACAAAAAAAAATATGTATGCGTGTGGGGAGTAGTGGAGGCGGGGGTATGGAGTGTGGTGTCGTTTTGTCGTCTTGCTAACTTATGTAGTAAGTAGTAGTGTTGGGAGCAGCGGTGAGAATGTTGTGGTTGAAGAATGGATAGTCAATGGGAATTAAGCCATGTTTCATAGGTGCGTTTGTGTTTTTATGTTGGATGGGTGGTGGTTTTGCTGGGATGATTTGTGAGGATCATGGATAGTTTGGGGGGAAATAATCTGAGTAATTTTTAATTACCTCGATTTGGGCCAGCATTGGCCGCATTGTTCGCATAATAGGGTTTATTCATTTGCTGAGGTTGACCGGCAGCTTGTGGATTATTGTTGCCGCCACCTCCTTGATTATTGCCACCGGGACCACCAGGGCCACCTCCATTGCCAGGAGCACCACCTCCAACTTGGGCGCCAACTTGGGGACCACCAGGGCCACCTTGTGGGCCACCACCACCACCATTATTACCGCCGCCGCCTCCACCCTGCCGCAGATTCTGTGGCTGTTGACCTCTTTGAACTTGTTGCTGTTGTTGGACTTGCTGTTGCTGCTGCTGTACTTGTTGCTGTTGACTCTGTGGTCCTTGCGGATGCTGGGGATAATTAGTGGGTCTCTGTATTGGTGTGGGATAACGTCCTGGCTGTGAACCTTGCGCACCGGGCGGAGGTCCACCTACGGCACCGCCGCCACGATTATTAGGATTCATATTTTGATTGTTGGCTCCGGGACCACCACTTGCTAGTCTCTGTTGAACGGCAGCTTGTTGAGATTGTTGTTGAGCGGCTGCTTGTTGTTGCATAACTTGATCCCACTGAAAAGGTATAGAAAGAAATTTAAAAGATTAACAAAATGTTTGAGAGATTTCGAAATGCACAATGGAGTCACTTTTGGGAAAGGAGATGAAGGCTAAAGACTTGAGGATTTTTATCGGATTTCATGCATATTTGGCAATGAACTCGACTCGGTTATATGTCATTCGGTGAAGCAACCGTTACTACTTCTTTTGATTGATGGAGAAACAAAACTCCGGAGAGGTCCAACAAAACTGATTAAACGAGAGGGATTGCAATGTCCCAAAAGCAATTTGCCAACACCCCTCGGACGAGAACAAGGTCGCTTATAACCTTGAGATAATGTTTTGAGTGATGGAGAAATAATCTCCGGAAAGGTCCAACAAAAGTGAATGCATGAGAGGGATTGTAATGCCCCAAAGGCAATTTGGTCAACACCCCCCGGACGAGAAGGCCGCTTATAACCTTGAGATAACGTACTGCTCCCAGTACCTTTAAGGGTAGCCCTTTCTGGCTACAAAGCCCTCATGGCCTTTGCATTTGTTAATTCTAACAAGTCTTTATCCTAAGGACAATTTATGTGGCGCAGTTTCTTCAGCTCGATTCTTCAAGAATTTCGAAAGTTCGCCATTAGATATTTGCAACCCTTTAAAAAGTCGTTTTATGTGGGAGAATTCCTTAGGGAAACTCATCATAAAATATCTTCCATCCTAGAAGATCCGAACGTTTTTAAAGTTCTTCCTTCTGTAGATGACACTTGAAATTTTATTATACTTCATCTCAAATACTTATTTTTGTGCTACTTACACTTCCATAATTCTTCAGATGTGGTGGACTGGGCTGTGATTGAGCATGTTTAACTAGGTTCAAACTGCCATCGGCTCCCAAAGGGCTTTTTAGCTGGCGACCCATCTATTTGAAAAAAAAAACGAATACATTTTTAAAAACAAATCATTAGGCATCTCACCAATCACAACTTACCGAATCTTGCATATGTGCTTGCTGTTGACTCGACTTGATATAAGCCGCTGCCGCCGCTTGTTGGGGCGTGGGTCCACCACGATACTGATTTATTGTCGCTGCCGTTAGCAGTTGTGAGTTCATAAATGGTGTATTGAAATTACCCATTGTATGTTGAGATTGTGGACCAGGTGGACCCTGTGGAGGTCCGGGTGGTCCATTCGAACCCGGTGGACCACCTTGATGTCCGGCATGTCCATATAAGCTGGCAGCAGCTGCCGCTAGGCCATAGTTCTGGGCAGCTGCTCCGGCACCTTGGGGTGGTGGACCACCATAGAATGCAGCTGGACCACTGGGACCACCGGCAGAATTCGAATAGTAACTGTTCGATTGTAGCTGATGTCCGGGTGGTGGACCGGGAGGACCACCTTGATGTTGTGGTGGACCGGTGGCATAAAGATTCATGTACTGTTGAGCTGCTGCAAAAGGACCACCGCCACCACCAGCCTTCGAACCGATGGTACCCAATTGTTGAGAGGTGGGTGGTGGTTTAACCGAGCCCACCGCTGACATTAACGAGTTGGAATTTGATGAAATAATTGTTACCGCCGCATTGGGATTGTTCAATTGCTGAGAATTGGGATTACCGAATGGTGAAGGGCCTCCGCCCATGCGGAATTGCGATGTTAGGTTTGAATATATTTCCGGTGTGGGTGCGGTGCCCATGTTTGGCGGTGTTTGCATGGGATAGGCATTAAAAGGGCCACCGGCTGCTGCCGCCGCTCCATAGTGTCCGGGAAAACTGTGAGCTGCAGCAGCCGAAAATTGTGAACGGTTCGAATGATCTATAGAATGGAATGGTGCATAGAGGCCACCTTGTGATGGTGGCGGGGGCATCTGAGATGAATTGAAGACGACGGCTGCCGCCGGTGGAGATGGTATGGTGGAGATGCCTGTGAATTGCGGTGAGGCCTGATAGAAGGGTTGTGGAGCGTGCATTTGTTGTTGAGCCGCCGACTGTTGCTGTTGTTGTTGCTGCTGCTGGTGTTGCTGTTGTTGCTGCTGCTGCATATTGGGTGGCGGCGACATACCCATCGATGACGAATGATGTTGTTGCATTTGTTTGGCCGCTGCCGACACCTGTTGTTGCTGCTGTTGCTTCACAACTTCCGATGAGTGTTTCATCTGTTGTTGTTGCTGCTGTTGGACCACCGCCGCCGCTGCCTGTTGTTGCTGTTGGGGACTTGGATAGCCACCCACAACGGAGTTATCATCGCCGGCTCCAACCACAATCCCAGCAGCTGCTGCTGCGGGTCCGAACTGCTGTTCTAGCTGAGCAGCTGTATCAAAGGGTGAAGCATGGGTACCAAATGCCGAGGGCACTCCCGCACCGGGAGATGACAGGGCATGATGTTGCATGTGTACTGCGGCCACGGCATAATGTGGCAAATGTTGTTGCTGCTGTTGTTGTTGGGAGGCTGCAACGGCGGCAACAAAAGATGCCGCTGTCATATGACCACTGGTATCGACTGGTTCCATTTGTTGTTGTTGCTGCTGTTGTTGTTGTTGGTGATGCAATTGCTGTTGTTGCTGCTGCTGTTGCAATTGCTGCTGCACAGCTGTGGCCGCATCGGAGGTCATGGGTTGGACACTTTCCCACACTTTCTTGACACTGGCAATTTTCATATTCAAATCGGCGGCCGAGATAAGATTTTGGGCCTGTTGAGATTGTTGTTGTTGTTGCTGCTGCTGTTGTTGTTGATGTTGGGGAGTATGTTGTTGCGGCGGCTGGTGTTGTGGTGTTTGTTGCTGCTGTTGCATGCCAACTTGTTGCGCCTGCTGCTGTTGTTGTTGCTGCTGCTGTTGGTGTTGCTGGGCACTGTTATTCTGTTTTACCACAGCCTCATTGTCTGCAGGAACACCACTGGAGGCCATGCCCTTAGTGGCTGTCGTATACGACTCTGTCGCATCACCGAATGAGAAGCCTAGCTTCATTTCCTTGTCATAATCGGATGAAGATGGACCGCCAGGCACAGTCTGAGAATTATTTGAGTCACCACCTGCCGCTGCAGTTGCTGAGCCATTTCCAGTAGCCGTTGGTTTTGTGGCATTGCCACCACCAAATGACATCTGTGACAGGGCAGTGGAGAGTGTGTCCACTCCAGTCACCGAAACATTCACATTTGATACCACCGATGAGGTGACCACCAAAGATTCCGATGAACGTTTCATTTGGGCAGCCTGTACCTGTTGTTTGTAGTGGGTATTTTCAAAGATGATAGTATTGACCGGGGCACCATCTATCAAGAGGGTTGAATTATTTGATTTGCCCTCCAAACTACTCAGAGATCCCAGAGAGCCCAACTTATTCTTTTCATTTTCCAGCTTCTGTCCAGCCGAAACATTATTGCTGCTGCTGAGAGGAGCATTATCCGATTTTCCACTCTTGGAATCTTGTGTTGTGGACTTTTGTTGAGATGTCGAGGTTGTCGATCCAATCGAAGCAATACTAGCCGACGATCCAGTCGATTTAAGACTTCCCAATCCAGTTGGAGTCTTTGTTAGGGTTGATGATTGATGCTGTTGCTGCTGAAGGCTACCTCCTGTGGGGGTTGCTGATTTATTAGCTTGTGCTCCACCACTGGATGAACCCTGTTGAGCAACAGTTGTTGGCAGTGTTGTCATTTGTAGATCCTGTTTCTTAGCGGCTTGTTGTTGCGATCCCGCGCTCATAGATGCATTAGACGCTCCACCAGATGATGATGCTGCTGCATTTGTGCTTCTTGTGGATGCCGCCGTACTGGTAGAGTTTGAGTTGGAGGGCAAAGCGTTAATGCTGCCCGATGCAGGAATGTCTTTTTCCTTGGAAGCTGATTTCTTCTCCCGTTCAAGAGTTGTGTTGCTTGTCCGCATCTCGTCGTCAGTTTTGCTGCTAGAAACACTTTCTTTTCTAGTCTGAGACTGTTGTTGCTTAGATGGTGTGGTCGATGATGACGACGCTGATGTTTTCTTCTCACTTTCGCTCGTTTTTTTCTGTTGCTGTTGAGGCGGGGTTGTCTGCTTGTTAGCAACTTGGTTGCCAGTGGAGGACGCCGCTGACGAAGAGGATTGGTTGGTGTTGTTGCGCTCTCCGCCATCCTTTATGTCCTTACCAACCTTTGATAGACCTGCACTTAGAGCCATTTGATTTTGTTTGGTCTTATCCAAATCCGAGTTGTTTGTCTCCGATGACTCTGAAGTCCGTTTCATGTCCTTGTGATCGTCCTGATAACTCTGGCGACCATATTGACGCTGTCCACCCGATGCCGAAGAACGTCCATCGTTACTGCGTCGATACGATAACGATGCTATACCACGGTCACCCATGTTACCGCCACCACCACGACCTCGCCGTGATGGCTCTCCCCTGGGGGCAAATCCACGATCATCGCGATCAGAACCACGACCGCCTCGGTCGCGATCACGATCACCTCCTCCACGGCCACCATCTTTGCGTGGTACTTTAGGGCTGCGTTCCGAACGCCTGCCACTGCCATATCCACCACCACCGCCACCCTCCTCCATCATGTCGTCGTCTTCATGATCCAGGTAATGGTCTTCAGGGCCTTGATAACGGCCGCCTCTTGAATTTCCACCTCGTTGATTCCAACCACTATCGCGATTGCCGCGATAGGAACTACCACTGGCATTGAAAGTGCGACTATGGGAAACACGCATGTCGCGCTCACGATCACGATCACGATCTCGGTCTCTATCGCGGTCGCGATCACGACCGGAACTGCTGCCTCCACCGCTTCTGGGACTAGGTCGTTTCTCCCTTTGGGGTTGTGGTGCAGCTGTCACACCTGCCGACGAGCCACTACGTTCTCCCTGCTCTGCTTGTTGTTGCTGCTGTTTACCATGGGAGTCAGACTCATTACCCGTAGCTGTTGTCGAAGGAGATAACGAATTCATTGAGTCATTTTGCTTTTGCGTATCCGAGACCACCGGTGATTCGGTCGCAGCATTATGCTCCTGTTCCTCCTCCGCCTGCTTACTCTCTGCCAATTTCGAGGCGTGCATATCTGAATGTCCAACACCACCCAGCGACGATGTCGAATTTGAACTTAATTTCTGATGTTCAATCGATTCGGAACGACGCAGAATTTGGGTGGGAGCAAAAGAACTTGTCGATGCCTGGTCACTGCTTTCACTGATGCGATGTTGTTTGTGTTGCAGCTGTGGAGGACTTTCTTCCTCTGATACACTCTTCTGGGTGTGGGGCCGTTGCAGAATTTTAATGGGTATTGAGTCATGGCTGTGTGATGAGGAGAAACTTTCATCCCTTTGCCTTTTCAACTCCATTTCGGTCTCCTCGGCCCACGAGGATACAATGCCACTTCCGAAATTGGTTGAATCTCCCGAGTAGCCTAATTTTATCGACTCGTCATTTGATGAAACACTTGTCTTGCGTTGAGATGTGTCGGAAATACTGCGGGACAATTGATTGGGTCCGCTAGCTAAGCTGCTGTTGCGGCCATAGTCATCTCCTCTATTGCCACCACCACCGCCGCCGCGACTGTGATAACGATCATCATCCCGATCGCTGTCGTTTCGCGAACGATAACCACCACTTCTGGTATAGTTGTCACGATACTCGCCACGTGGTCCTGAACCTCCTGTACTACGCTGGGGACCACCACTTGATGATCCGCCCTTTTGCATGTAGCGCGTATTTTCATAGTTCATTGAGGAAGATGACGATTTTTCCAAGCCTCCGCCGCTACCACTGTTGCTATTGGGTCCAGAACGACCGGGACCCAAGCTACTACTGCTACTAGTACCACCTGCCTGTTGTTGGCGCAGAAAACGTGGTGGTAAATTAGATTGGAAATGGGCCGAGAATACAGTTTTTGACCCAGGTGGTCCGTTGGAGCCACCCGAGCCAACTCCTCCAATGGATCCTGAGTTGGTGGCATTCATGGTGGATATATTACCAGAACCACTGCCGCGAGAATAGTCTGTAGCTGATCGCACATCTCGGGAGTCATAACCACCTGCACGACTTCCACCGCCACGTTCTCCCCGTTCTCCCCGTTCTGCTGTGCTAGAACGTTCATAACTTCCACCACTGCGACGGGTAGTATTTTCATCAACTGAACCGGCAGTAGATGAGGTCGACATACCACTTCCTCCCGCCGGTTGTTGATCATAGCTGGAATCTCCACCACCTGTGGCAGATTTTTTGCTATTGATTTTCATTTCCAACTCCTGTTTCTTTCTAGCTGCTGCCAATTTACGTTCCATGTCACGACGTTCTTCCTCCTCCTTACGTTGCTTTAATCTCTCATACACGCTAGCATCAATGGTAATGCCGCCAGTACCAACACCGGGACGATGACCGTTTTGGTGTCGGGTATCTTCAACATTATCACCCCCTCCTCCACCAACACCCGCAGATGACTTGTCCCGTTCCGAACTGTCTCGATCCTTTCTTTGCCAACTACCACCACCAGCTGTCGACGATGAACCACTGGCATTGGAGTTTTTACGTTGGTCATTGAGATTGCCACTGTTCTTATTGAATACTGGTCGTTCACGTTCCTGGGTCGGGGTATCCTCCGGAGACTCATCGTCCGAGAAGGTCAGTTTCTTGGTGTAATCGATATCCTCCTGTTTTGTCCAGCTGTCATCGTTGGCAATTGCATTTAGTCGTTCCAAGTCCTCTTCGCGTATAATGGGTCGTTGCATTTGGGCCACTTCCGGTTCAACAATGTATTCCTTGTCTTTGCGATGACCATTATTGCCACCAACGCCGCTTCCATTACCACCAACACCACCACCACCTCCACCATTTGTGGGCGGTGGAGTATTTAGTAAAGGTGGACGTTTGGGTAGAGCAGTTGCTTGGCGGAAACTGCTACTGACGCCAGCCGAATTCGAGCGATGATAATCTTGTGCATTTCCGCGAGGTTGAGGCCTTATGTTCACTGATGACGATGACGAGTCCTTTGTTAGTCCGTTTTGATAGTTGGGTGGAGTCTGCGAACGTCCACTGGAGCTTGATGTAATGCCGCCACCAACTCCTCCTACCCCTCCCCCACTGTTGGCTGGCAGGGGCACACCGCGCTGCATGAACGACGGCATTAGTGACAAAATTGGTAGTGGGACTGCAGCGCTTGGATTTGCAACCGAACTAGTCTGGGGGCCCTGGCCCTGATGGTTCGATTGGCTGTCGGCTGCCGCACCCTTGGCATTCTTTTCCTGTTGCTCCAGCCAGGCGGCAGTATTTGTTTGTGGTCTCAGACTGACTTCGTTCATTTCGCGAGATATATCGCCGTTTCCACTGCCACCACGACCACCACCGTCTCCGCCGCCTTCGTTGCCATCTCTGTAATTGTGTGGATCGTTGCGTTGATGGTGATGCCGACCGCCGCTGCCACGTTCTCGATCTCCGCCGCCACGTTCGCCATGATGATAATCGCCACCACCATTGCCACGCTGATGATGATGATAATTCTGATGATTCGAGTTCGAATGATGATGGTGGTGCTGTTGTTGTTGTTGCTGCTGATGTTGATGATGATACTCCTTTTCGCCACGATCTCGTTCTCGTTCGCCGCCGCCTCCACTTCTGCGATTCGCATTCACATTGCCACCGCTTCCGGCGCCGCCAACTGTGCCATCCAAAGTCGGAAATTCGTGCTGAAACTGTGGACTCTGGTAGAGTGGTGGTACTGTGGCTGTCGGTTTGCCACCTCGTTGGTTGTCGTTGCCTGTCGTTACAGCAGACCATGTTATTGGTTTTTGTTGACTGTGGTGGTGATGAGATTGACTGCCGCTACCTCCTCCTCCTCCGCCGCCGCCACTCTTATTGCCAACAGATGTTGAAGAGTTGAGAATTAATTTACTCCCAACACCGCCGATAACAGTACCGCCGCTGCTGTTGCCGCTATTGTTATTGCCAATGGGGTTGTTGTTATTGTTGCCGCTGTCTCTGCTGTTGTTGCTGCTGCTGTGGTGGCTGTTACTACTGTTGTTGTTTGTAATGTTACTATTGATGTTGCTGCCGCTGCTGCTCTTTGTTGCTGTGGTACTTTTCAATGGGTTATTTGTAGGGCCGGACGTTGGTGTTTGTACGCCTCCTAAAATTTGAGAAAAACATATAGATTGGAGGGAAATGAAGAATAATCTATGATATTTATAATTTGCAGAACCAGTTTGTGTTATTTACTTAATATAGATATAGAATTTTATGCTTGATTTTATGGAGGCTTTTTTATTCCGACACTGAGGAAATAATTTACAAGGAAAATTGGGAAGGTTTTATTTATCTATTTTTTTATATGAAGAAGGATATTACAAAATTGACCAATCAAAGGCCGCCAAAGTTCCTGTTTTTAAAAGGACTCAAACAAAAAACTTGCATAACTCCAGAAATAGCACTAAATCCAAAATATGGGTCCTATTCGAAGCATCTATGAAATATAGACCCTATACGCCTCTTTTCAAACATGTAAATATCTCTTTCCATGCCAAATATGAACAAGTTAAAAAGCAATAAATTCGGCCGGGCCGAACTTTGAATACCCTCCACCAGTAACGAATTTGGAAATTTTAAAAAAATAAAATCCTTAAAAAAATTATGCTAAAATTTTAAAAATACCGAATATAGCAGTTATATTGGGGTCTATACGACGTGGAACTACATAGACATTGTTTGTCATAAGCCATTACCATATTCAAATTTGAAACTTGAAATAAACGGCGAATAATGTAGCTAAAATCAACAAAATATCGTATAGAGGGAGGTACCGTTTTATCGTAGCTGTGCGAAGACCTAGACCAACATAGACAATTTTCTGTCACAGGCTACAGCATCCATTACGAACTTCAAATACGACATCTCAAACAATTTCGGTGGGTATTGTACCTAAACTCGTCAAAATAGCGAATATAGAGAGGTACTGATAAATGGGCCTATACGAAGACCTGGACCTGCATAGGCAATTTTCTGTCACGGACTGTAGTTGCCGTTACGAACTCTAAATACGTAATTTGAAACAATTTCGTTGAATAATGTCGCTAAAATCATCAAAATATCGAACATCGGAAGGTACCGTTATATGGGGGCTATACGAAGACGTGGACCTGCACAGACAATTTCCTGTCATAGGCTGTAGTATCCATTTCGAACTTCAAATACCAAATTTGAAACAATTCCGGTGAATAATGTCGCTAAAATCATCATAATACCGAATATCGGAAGGTACCGTTATATGGGGGCTTTATGAAAACATCGACCTACATGGCCCATTTACGAACTTAACCTGTCTACTGGGGAAAATAATCACGTGTGCAAAATTTTAGCCTTCTATCTCAATTCGTTCGAAAGATAGCGTGATTACAACAGGCAGACGGACAGACAGATAGACAGACGGACAAGGCTAAATCGACTTAGAATTTTACGCTGATCAATAATATATATATACTTTATTGGGTCTGGCATGAGTATTTCGAGGAGTTACAAACGGAATGACAAAGTATGGTGGAGGGTATAAAAAGATGAAAAACTGCAACCAACGTCAGACTGCTGTAATTTCTAAGCCACTCGTCCGACAGCTGTTAAAATTATTCCAGTGACAGCTCATTATATTGTTTACAAGCGTACAAAAGCATTTTGGTGAGGATGTCCAAAAAAATTATTCGTGATGGAATTCAAGCGTGATTACAAAATGAGGTTCCTCGCTTCATTTCCAGCGCACAATGGCCACCAAAATTTCCGGGTTCCAATCCATTGTATCTGGAGTATTTTATAAAGCAAGCTTGGCACTAAAAGATACCAAAGTGTCGATGACCTCAAGCAAGCACCTCGCCGGAAATGGGCCAAAATACCGCAGAGCAACATTCGGGCAGCGTGTAACGGTTTCTTTGCCGCAAGGCCATAATTCGTGCCAAAGGTGACCAATTCGAACAAATCTAAACTTATTCAAAAATTTGATGCTATTTCCGATTTTTTTTGCTTTCATTCAATAAAATTTAAAAAAATGTAAAAATTATGGCGTTTGACTTTGTTGCAGTTTTTTATCTCATCCTGTACTTCCTCCTCGTCTAAAGGCCATAATTCGTGCCAAAGGTGATCAATTCGAACAAATCTAAACTTATTGTAAAATTTGATGCTATTTCCGAAATTTTGTGCCTTTAATCAATAAAATTAAAAAAAATGTAAAAATTATGGTGTTTGACTTTGTTGCAGTTTTTTATCTAATCCTGTACTTCCTCCTCGTCTAGACAAAGCTTACAATATTTAGTATCGTCGTCCCTCCACCATTTATTTACATCACTTACCTTCTTGACCAGTTGTTGTTGTATTATTATTAGCAATAGTTGGCGAACTAGTTGTTTCAGCTTTTAAGGATGGTAGATTAGCTGGTGGTCGCCGAGCGGACGGCACTTTGCCCAAAATTTGCATTCCATGTTTACGTGGCACTTGGTTTTTTTGTGCTGAAGGCTCTGTCGTTTCACCCTAAAAATTATTAAAAAAAAAAAAAAAAAAAACAAAAATGAAAAGAGATGTTAGTACCACACAGCAGAACACACACAAATTAACAGCAATTATTAAAACACAAAATAAAAATGCGATTTAGCGATTTAGATTGCTCGCATTCACTTCCTTCCATTATGGCAGATGACAATGATGAATTAATGCAATACAAATATACAATACTTACACGACTATTTTTGTACATTCGATTTATATCGAGTGCTGAGAACTTGGGCTTGGCATTTCGCTCTCCCCTACTTCCCCCCAGTGTACTCATGCTGCCAATAGATCCTCATTAGCGTTAACTTGCCCCTTGTGCACCAAGCACCTCTCTTCTTCGGATCTGTTTATTTAGGGGGGCTGCTGGCTGGTTGGCTGGCTGGCTAGCTGTTTGGCGGGCTGCTACTGCTGCTCTGGTTGGTGTTGGTTTGCTCGTTTTTGGGGGTGTTTGTTGTAAAAGCCTAGTTTTTGGTTTTTTGTTTTCTATTTTTTCCAAAAGAACCAAAGACCAATATGCCTTTCACTGTTGAAAATTGAAAATAGGATTCAAGTTGGCTTTTGTTGCAGATTTCAATTTGATCTCTATTTCTCCCCCTCTCTTTCCACCTACAAGAGTGCTGGCTTTAGAAATCTTCTCAATCAACAATTATGAAATTGCACAATTGTTGTTGGGCAGAAGAGGTTTGTTGCAGTTGTTGTTGGGATGGATATATTCTTCCTCCGTTTATGTGGTTGTTGCTCCACTTATATCTCTTGGTATTGTTTATGCAAAAACAATAGGATTTTCTTTTGTTGTTTTGCGATTGTGTGTGTGTTGTTGTTGTTGGTTTCTTTTTTTTTCTTTTTAATAGTAATTGCAGTTGTTGTTGTGATTAGAGCGTTCTATATATGCCGGAAAACGGAAAACAAAGAAGTAATGAGTTTTTGGTTTCAATTTTGTTTTTGTTCCAAATGAAAAAAAAATGTTTGGCAGGTTGTTGTTTTTTGTTTGTTGTTGTTGTTTAGGCTTGTTTCCCCTTTCGTGAATACTTTTTCAGTTTATTTTGGTTGTGAGAGAGTTTCGAGTTAATGTTCCTTTCTTTCTGGTTTTTCTTTCCTACTTAGTCTGACTGTTGTTGAATGTCGCCGATATTGTTCTTGGCTATCTCGCAAATGGATGTTTTTCCTATATATGGGTGACTTCTAATGTTGTAAATAATAGTTTGATTTACTTAGGATTTTATTTGTAGTTATATTCCGTTAATGTAAGTTTATTAATTAAACTTCAGTCTTCTGTTTATCCTGAAAAAAATGGGAAAAGAAAAAGTTAGAAATGGTACTCTTTACAATGAGGAGATCTTTAAATTTAAAAAATACGGCAATTTGAATTGTACCGATACATGAAGGTCTAACCGAGTTAAATGTTGTTGTTGTTCCAGTTAGATAATGTGCACTTCTTACGAAAAAACTTCCAGGAATTACTCTTAAGCTGAGATGTGATCTTCATGTGATTCTTTAAACCTCATTTGAAAAAGATCAGATTAGGACGAACCGAAAACACTTGCAAATATTCATAATGCAATTTTGAGAGATTTTATACCCTCCTCCATAGTATGGAGGGTATACTAAGTTTGTCATTCCGTTTGTAACACCTCGAAATATACATTTTAGACCCCAGAGGGTATATATATTCTTGATCAGCATAACATTCTACGTGGATCTAGCCATGTCCGTCTTTAGAAATTACTCTAGCTTCCGAAAAAATGAAGTAGGTTGATAAAATTGTACTCAAATGTATATTATGTCTGCAGGACATTTGGTATTGAAAATGGGTCAAGTAGTTCCAAGTTTTGGTATAGCCCCCATATAATGGTACCTCCCAATATTCGGTATTTCTGTGATTTAAGCGACATTATTTACCGGAAATGTTTCAGATTTGGTATTTGAAGTTTGTAATGGATACTATAACCTATGACAGAAAATTGTCCGTGCAGGGACACGCCTTCGTATAGCCCTCATATAACGGTACCTCCCGATATTTGGTATTTTGATGACATTAGCGACAGTATTCACCGGAATTGTTTCAAATTTGGTATTTGAAGTTCGTAATGGTTACTACGGCCTATGACAGAAAATTGTCTGTGCAGGTCCGTATATCCCCCACATAACGGCACCACCCGATATTCGGTATTTTGATAATTTCAGCGACATAATTTACCGGAAATGTTTCAATTTGGTATTTGAAGTTCGTAATGGCTCATATTTGGTATTTTGATGACTTTAGCGACACTATTCACCGGAATTGTTTTAAATTTGGTTTTTGAATTTCCTAATGGATACTACAGCCTATGACAGAATATTGTCTGTGCAGGTCCACGTCTTCGTATAGCCCCTATATAACGGTACGTCCCGATATTCGATATTTTGATGATTTTAGCGACAATTTTCACCGAAATTGTTTCAAATTTGGTATTTGAAGTTCGTAATGGATACTACATCCACGCTTTCGTATAGCCCCCATATAACGGACGGCATCACCTGATATTCGGTATTTTAATGCTTTCAGCTAAATTATTCATTTTTCAGCTATTCATTTTATTCATGATTTCAGCTAATGCCTTGTGACAAATGTTACCTATGCAGATCCACATCGTCGTATAGAATCTTAACAGATTTTTTAACGGAATTTTTTTTCTGAAGGTGTTACCAGTTCGACTGTCCAACATCCTAAGTTATTTGGCATTGGTTTCTGTGTTAAGCGAAAGGTTGGTTTTCTGATTTGAGTGTCTTAAGTTTGGCTTAACCTGAAAGTGATTCACAACTGTGATCTTCGGATCGCATGAACGTTGACAGATGCATACTTGGACAGACATGCATTTTTAATGGCGACAGAAAACTTTCCACATCTCATCGAATTTTTTGAGATGAGGAGTATTCCTGATTAACGTACAGGTTTCGACTACTACAAACTATCCCAAAATCCAAGGAACCATATTAGATAGCTAGTTTAATTCTCCTCTTAAATTATGTTCTTTTTTTAGAGTTCAGCTATGGCTTAATAAATATAACAGCTGAATATCGGTAGAATGCATCACCTTTGCCCATGGTGCAAACAAAACAAATGTTGACATTTCGTCTGGTTTACAGAATCTGGCGAAACCACTTTTTATTGTGTCGTTGCAAAAATTTGTTTAAATTACATCAAGGTCGGTGAATGGTATGATACAATTAAAAGGTAACTTTGTCACAACTGATTATTAGACTAGCTGTCAAAATACATTACTGTAATTGAAATTAAAGGATAAAAGATTAACAAATCGTATTTATTTAAATGCGGCACAATGCCAAATCGACTCCAAAACAACAAACTATGGCAGGCCGAACAATACGCTGCACCTACTTAATTTAATTGCACCGTCAAACCTACCAACTCACTCCAGAAGACCTCTGGTTACAGTCCATCAAGGAAGCCGAATTTTTAAACCTGGAGCTCGAACTAGATTAGCAGAATCCAAACTTCTGCATGTACTACTGCTAAAAAAGTAACAACAAACATTGAGATTTAGTGAAATTTTAAGTATAACATCTTATTATTGCGCCGTGTTGTAGAAAGTTTTTAAGCTCCGCCAAAATGGTAGCTTACTCCTCTAATGTAATAAAATTAAATATATATATCCATACATCAATGAAAAATCCAAATATATTAATGACTATTTTGTTATGATCGCCATTTATCATCCGACATGACAAATTCCGATTGGACGTATAACATGGCTTTCCATCAATTTCTATTAAATATCCCCCAAATTGTTTGAATCATTTGGCAACACTGTTTTTCCCAATTCTTTTGTGTTTTGCACATAACAGTAAAACCCTCCAACGAAACGCGTTCCAACTGCATTAGAAAATGCACTGGCTAGAAAGAGATGGCTATATTCATAACGCACTAAACATAACATGTATACAACATTAAATGCAAAATAAACGACGACTGATGAATGAAAACAAAAAACAAGGAAAATCGAACATAAAAAAGGAAAAAGAGATATTAAAATTAATGTTCACTTAAGCCTTAAATTCAAAGGGAAAATTCTTTATAAATTCAATTTAGTTGTAGTTGAAAATATCCCTTTCACACGACAGCAAACCCAAATAATGCGAGCTATAAAAATGCATTCTGTTGATCCCTTTTTGGGCCAAAATATTACACCTTTTTCGTTTCGAAACACACACACACATTTGTTGTAAGGACGTGTGTTCCTTTCTTGCAGTATTTCCCCCCTCAATTTGATACTTTTTTCTTTTTTCACATTAGCTTCAAGCAGTTGTTTAGTGAATGGGTGTTGCGGCGGCTTGAAGGGATGCGCTGCGCTGGTTGTTTGCTGCTATCTCCTCCTCTTTATTGTAAGTTTTTTTGTTTGTTAGGTTTTTTCCTATTCACTCCTCTACTCGTTGAAAAGTCAACGAACGAAAAATTGTGGAACAAAAAGAAAAAAAGAAATTTCCAACTTTTGTTTTTTGGTTTGAACAATTTTCGAAACGAAAAAAAAAAACTTATGAGAATATTTTCACAGCTTTTCAATTGTCTTTACATTTTAAAAAACACTTTAGCATTCTTTTAATTATGTTTCTTATCCAACAATATAAAACCGTTTTGAACTTTCTGGACGACTCAAAAAATAATTTTCATCTTTTATTCTTGCGCAAAAAATTACTTTGCAACATTCTTCTTTTCTGATCATCATCTCACCACCATAAACTCTGTTGGAGACTTTTTCACACGATTTTCAAGCTGAATTATAAGTAAATAACACACGCACACGTTTGAAAACGCTTAGGAAATTGATTTCGTTCAATTATTTGTGAAAATTTCTTCATAAATTGATTTATTTTCAGCAATATTTTAATAATAATTTAACCAACACGACTTTTTGCTGCTACTGCACAACTCGCCTTTTTTCGGTTTTGTTAACACGCACACATATACACATACACGTACGTACGTACACGACAAGTAGCGAACACATACAATTATTTGGGGGAAACGAGAGTTTTTGCTCAGAGAATTTTGTTGGTTGTTTGTCGGTAAAATTGTTGTCGACTACTCGTTGATTGCCTTTTTCTACAGTGTTGCTTAAATCGGTAGTAATTAGTTTATGTTGTATTATTTTAGTAGCAAATGGGGTGTTTTTGTAGCAAATATGTAATGTTAGAGGGAATTCTTCGAACAAACGTCAAAATGTAGCGGTAAATGTCAAATATTTATGTTGATTTTGGTCTCTTTGACATTATCTAAAGCCTAGGGTTGAGAAAATGAGAAACTACCAAAAAGAAAAGGAATTCCCCCAAAATTACGACAAATTTATTTCCAAGGGTTGCATTTTTTTTTTTTTTTTGGAAAATTTTAATTTTTATGGATTTCTGGATTATGGATTTCTTATGTTCAGTGCTGCAGTGTTTTGTTCTCAAGTAAATTAATCAACAATACAGGAATAACCAAAACGTAAATAAATAGAGAATTAGAATTGTATTTCATGATCTCTCGTTTGGTTTTTAATCGTAATAATTTATAATAATTAATTAATTATTCTTTTTAAATTAATATATTTCTTAATTGTCCGGCCTTCTGTAAAAGTTGTGTTAAAGTTTAAGTTATTGAGCAAAGATCATGCCATGTATCGACATTTCAGGATCCGATCTGAGCAAAGTTAGTGCGTTTTGCTGGTTTCTACATTAGACTGTTCCTCGACCCTACAGTTTCTAGGTGTCCGCATTATTTTCAGACTGCAAAAGTTGTATTTTTTGAAAAAAAAAACTGCAACCAAATTCAGACTGCTGCCATTTCCAAGCCACTGGTCCGACAGCTGTTAAAATTGTTTCAGTGACAGCTCATTATATTGTTTACAAGCGAAAAAAGAAAAAAAGTTATTCGTGATGGAATTCAAACGTGATAGTTTGATTTCTTAATATTTGGCTGGAAAACCACAAGTGGCTATCTTCGTTAGGCCACTCCAGCATTTAAATGTGAATAAATCTTTTGTGTCTCGTACCATCGCTCGTTGCCGTGATGGTAACTGGTAGCGTAGCCCGACGTGAAGGAAGTGGACAGAAGAAAACAGCAACATCAGCAGAAATGGTTCGAAAAGTAAAGAAGCGACTTGATCGAAACATGCGTTGCAGTAGCCAAAAAACGGCTCGTGGGCTGAACATATCGCAATATTTCATTCGGCAAATATTGAAAAATGAACTCGGGGTAAAGCCATTGGAATTCTAAAAAGTGCAAGAACTTACACTGCAGCAGAAACAAAATAGACTCAAAAGAACTAAAGAGTTGCTTCGCTTGGCCGAAAGTGGTGAAACTGCAGATGAGAAAACATTAGTTGTCCAGCAGTTTGTAAACAAACAAAATGATCGTGTTTGAGGAGGAGGAGGTCAGCTGAAAACGTGCACCTTCGGTTGTCCACCAGAACTCAAGCGCCGGCCATATGGTGATGGTGTGGGTCGCCATTACAGCCGATGGCCGCTCTCCGCTCGTATTAATCGACCGTGGCATCAGAGTAAATGCCGAATATTATCGCGAAAATATTCTGGAGGGTGTATTAAAGCCTTGAGTACGCAAAGATTTTGGCCGCAGACCTGGGACATTCCAATAGGACTCAGCACCATTGCGCTCAGTACGCGACACCCAAGAATGGTTACAAAATGAGATTCCTCGCTTCATTTCCAGCGCACGATGGACACCAAAATCTCCGGATACCAATCCATTAGATTATTGTGTCTGGAATATTTTGAAAAACAAGGTTGGCACTAAAAAATACCAAAGTGTCGATTACCTCAAGCAGGCGCTTCGCCGGGAATGAGCCAAAATACTGCAGAGCAACATTCGGGAGCGTGTGACGGTTTCATTGACCGCTTGAAGGACATAATTCGTGCCAAAGATGACCGATTCGAACAAATCTAAACTTATATTCTAAAATTTGATGCGATTTCCGACAAAAATGTAAAAATCATGGCGTTTGACTTTGATTCAGTTTTTTTATCTGTCCCTGTATGTTCAGATTTAGACTAGGTTATTTTGAGCACACCAGTCCTGTAAAATTTCATTAATATATCGTAGAATGCTCGACATGGACGATAAGGTTTCCCAATTAAAATGAAACTAATAATTAAATTGTATAGTTTTCGGCTGAGATATTTTTTATGAGTTTTACAGAAATCTTCACTAAATCAAGTAAATCCGAATATTGATGAATAAATTATGCTCATATGCGAATATCCGAAGAATTTTGGCCCCATCTTAATGTAAATACAATAAAATACCATAATTTTGTTCTTTAGATATTCCAAATAATCAAACAATTAGTGTCCTCACTAAAATAAACACTAGAATACGCAATGTCTCCATTTGATTCATATTCACATCTCTTTGTTCGAATGGAAAACATTCTTTGTGGATTATTTGAAATGAAATGACAAAAAATATTTCCAATAAGCAGTATTTCAGTCCATTTGTTTTGATACCTTTTTAATGCAACGCCCCGGTGCCATCAAAGTTAGTACCAAATTTTTCTAACACTGCATGTTATGAGCGTGTGTTTGTGTGTTCCTTAACTAGTGCCATTAACTCGTTACGTTTTTCACCCATCGTCAACTATTTGCCAAATATTGAATACATATGGTTGAACCGCTCTCTCACACAGTAAATTTCATAATAACAAAACAAATTACAAAACGAGGGGGAGTAACAAGAAGACCATATACAACCCACCAATACCAATTGTCAGTGAATTGTGTACGTGAGTGTTCAAGAATCAAACCAAAACCAAAAAAAATTACAATAAGAAAAGATGTAAATGAAACTTTATGTGAAAAAGAAGGGATCATTTTAAAGCACTGTTTGTTTAGATTATTTTCTATGGAGAGATTACACCACACATAGAAAGAAAACACATTTCATCCTATTCACGTCCAGTGATATGGCAACACCATACTATGTTCATAACTCATTGCTGCTGCAAGTGTACAAAACAAATTGCAAAAACACCGGCAGATAATTTTTGTTGGTGATGTTTCAAACGGAAATATTTAATGGATGATTAATGTTTGTTTTCACCAATGGCAAAAACGTGTTAACCAAAGCCTATTCTGCTCCGCTTTTCAAACAAATGTGGGCCCTATCATGTCATATCATCCGCATGTCACTTACCTTCTTTCAATCCTCCTTCAATTTTTTTTCCTTTCATCAGATGTTGTATTTCGCCCTAGTTCGTTGCTCTTATAATGGACTGATGAACTTTTCTCGTCGTCAAACAACAATTTCCAGCTTAAAACATTAGCACACACAACACACCGTCTAACCATCCAGCAAAAATTAATTATTTTTGACACTTATTCTTCTTCTTTTTTACTTCAAACGTTGTCGTCGTCGTGTTTGCAGAAAGTGTAAAACCAAATAACTTTTTCAAGTTTTATTTTGCCTTTATTTTTGCAACTACACAATTATTCTCTTCTCTACCATACAAATGTCTCACTCACTCGTTCTCTGTCACTCACACCAGTGTGTGTGTGCGTTTTTTGTACCGAAAAAAATCCAATTCGTTTTCTTTTTTCTTCTTCACCGATTCTTTTTTTTTTTTCTTTTTCTTGTATGGAGAAGGAATTGGAATGCAATTTTTTCATATGAATTTTACACTTTATTTTCGCTTCGCTGTTGAGCTAATTTTCCGGACACACGTTTGCTAAACTTTTTTCTTTTGCTTTTTTGATTTATGAAACGTAAAAACGTTTGGATGTAAAACTAAATTTTATTTTTTAATTTTAATTCTGGGCGAACAGGACAGAAAATCACTCAGACAAATTATAATTTGCTGCTTGTCTAGTTAGGGATAAGTAGCTCGACTTTTAGTACTCAAAGTCGTAGTCAACTAGGACTGTGGTGAAAATCGATTAATCGTTTGTTCATAATCGATTGTGCGACTCAGTGGTGCATAATTGGTCTGCTCCAAAACTGCAAGAATGTAAATGTTTTTACTACTTCTTGCAGGTTCTGGAACAGACCAAATACTATGTTCTCATTGCAATTTTAATCACGTTGTTCGCTATTAGAATTCGGTACACGATTCGAAATTCATAGTAACATAATTAATTATTTTAAAATCTTTATTTTTTTGATTTTAATGGGCATTTGTAAAAAAACATACGAAATTCTGATTAATATCAATCGAATTATTTGGTCTGTTCCAGAACCTGCAAGAATCTACTAGTTTTGCCATTATTTTCGATATAATAAAGGAAAAATCGGTCGTAGCAGGCTTTGTAGGATCAAAGTTTCTTGCTAAAGAATCAAAGTTTATTTATATATTTGAAAAGACATAACATATAAGCAGATATATTAAAATCGTTAAGTTTTTTTTTTTTTTCATTTCGATAAGTTAAGTTCTCTGAGCCAGAACAAGTAGTTTTTGCCATTTTCCACAATCAACCCATCGACACCTAGAGTAAGAAAACAGATTTTATATTAAAATTTTAATGTACATTTTTTACATAAGTGTGTGCTTTACAAATGCTCTGTTCCAGAACCTGCAAGAATCAACTAGTTTTGCAATTTTCTTTGATATCATAAAGGAAAAAGTCGGTTATCGTAGTGAAAAATTTTACATTCTTGCAGTTCTGGAGCAGAGCAAAAACTTACCGACAGGGGACATATATTCCTCTCCGGGCTTATTATTCTTATTTGGTGGTTCCGGTAAGTTGTACAAAAGCCAAAATATGTTGCTGAAAATAGAAAAAATTAATAGTTTTTATTTTGAAAATAATTTTGTAAGTCATGGTACAATAATTTCCAAAATTGGGTAGCAGTAATCGGAATACAGGGTGAGATAAAAAACTACAACATTGTCAAACGCCATAATTTTTAAACTTTTTTTTTAAATTTTATTGAATGAAAGCCGAACATGTCGGAAATAGTATCAAATTTTAAAATTAGTTTAGAGCCCTCAAACGGCCAATGAAACCGTCACATGCTGCCCGAATGTTGCTCTGCGGTATTTTGGTCCATTCCCGGCGAAGCGCTTTCTTGAGGTGATCGACACTTTGGTATTTTTTAGTGCCATCCTTGCTTTCCAAAATACTCCAGACACAATAGTCCAACGGATTGGTATCCGTAGATTTTGTTGGCCATTGTGCGCTGGAAATGAAGCGAGGAACCTCATTTGTAACCATTCTGTTGGAATATCCAAGGTCTGCGGCCAAAATATTTAATACACCCTCCAGAATATGTTCGCGATATATTCGTCATTTATTCTGATGTCACGATCGATAAATACAAGCGGAGAGCGACCATCGGCTGTTATTGCGGCCCACACCATCACCATGATCATTTTGTTTGTTTACAACCTGCCGGACAACGAATGTTTTCTCATCGGAGAAAACCAAATTCGGGAGCTCACCACTTTCGGCCAAGCAAAGCAACTCTTTACCTCTTTTGAGTCTATTATCTTTCCGTTGCGGTGTAAGTTTTTGCACTTTTTGGAATTTCAATGGCTTTACTCCGAGATCATTTTTCAATATTTGTATATTTTCGATATGTTCAGCTCAAGAGCCATTTTTCGGCCATTGCGATGCGGGTTTCTTCTTTACTTTTCGAAACATTTCTGCTGATGTTGCTGTTTTCTTCCGTCCACTTCCTTGACGTCGGGCTACGCTAATGAGCTGTCACTGGAATAATTTTAACAGCTGTCGGTCAAGAGGCTTATAAATGACAGCAGTCTGAAGTTGGTTGCAGTTTTTTCATCTCACCTTGTAGAAGAATTGTAATCGTATTAAGGACTCAATATTTTAAAAAATCCGCGGCGATTCATTCATTTTTCGCGGTTTTCTCTTAAATGAACATATTGTGACGAAAGTGTTAAATAAACAAAACAACAACAACAACAACTTATTATTATTATTTAATAATTCTTCCCTACCTTGTAATTATCGCACCATGCTGTAAGTTGCTGAGAAAAAATATTTGAAAGAAACTGCTTGTTTTTGTCTTTTTTACCACTCAATACAATGCCACTTAAACTACCCGTTTTTAAAAGATGTAGCAATCATTTCTCTTATATTTGCCTCAATGTATAAGAAAACTTATAATTTTTTTTATTTTTGAAAAAAAAAAAACATTTTAAAATTTTGACATATCAATGTTTCCGAACGTTGATGAATCTATCTGTATTCCTCTACCATGTGTAAACCCATGGTACATTCATGGCTTAATAAGAAAGGTTGCTCAACTTCAATGAAACTAGAAAAATGCAACTCTGTGCTGGAGTCTTACACTGCCAAACATATTTTTAAATATGTTGTTAACAGTTGCTTATATTGGGGAAACCCCGCGAAACAAGAATGGAATTTTAGGGTTATTCCACAATATTGAATCCAAAATTTTACTATGTGTTGCCCATTAACGTCGAAAATATGCATTTAAGTTGCATCCGAATTTGAAATAATTTCAAATTATTGTATTTTTTATTCAAAACAATACACACACAAAATGTACATATGTTTTGACAGAACAAGGACACCAAAAGAAAAAAACGTATTTAATTAACGTAATTGAATGTCTTTTCAAATATAAGTTGATTTTTATATGTTTTCTTATACGACGTCAATCGGAGGTTATTATAATACGCGTTTTTTTTCAAATTTTTTTACAAATTCAAATAATTTTTCATTCAACATTTTCAATTCCAAAATTCGTTTGACAGTTCATTGTCCCAGCAACTCTGTCGATGCATTTACCTGCATTCTTCTACCACGTGTAAACTGCAATTCTGACGGAAGCTTAAAGGTGCAAGTACATAAAAAGCTTGAAGTCATGGCTAGGCATATTAATGTCAAATTATAATGGAAACGACGACAGGATTTTAATGCGGCTCTGTAATTCCTTTATGAAATGTCACAAAATATGCCTAGCCATAACTTCAAGAGTTCTTATGTACTTACACCTTAACATTTACCTTAAATCAGTTGTCTAATAAATGATATATTAATGTATGGTACAATGAAATGAAGGTTACCTCATCCCAAATTAGCATTCCCAGCTCTGCATTCTCTGTAATTTACCTTGTCAAATTTCAATGCATAAAAAAAGAGTTCTCATCTCTGATTCTGTGTGTATATAATGGATTTATGAAATATATTTTTACCATGAGATGTTGTCAAATGTTTGAAAAAATTTTAAACATATGATTGCATGAGTTTACTTTAGTTAGTTAGTTAGTTCTACCATGTATTAATGTAGGGCGTTCAATACGTTTCAATAGTTAAATATTTACCATCAATGCAACTTGTGTAAACATACTACAGTAAACTATTTGTGCGAAAGAAGGGAGTTGATTGAGGTAAACGTAATATTCTCTCTCTCTCTCCAAGAATTTCTCTGTTGCCGTTAAAACAGGCAATTGACAATAGCTTTTATTTCAACTCACTTTTTAACATCTTCCGCCTTCCCAGAAATTTCGGTGACATAATGGCCCCAGGAAGTATTTTTGTACTTAAAATCAAATCTAAAAATAAAATATGTTTGTCAAAATAAAAAAAATTATAAGAAAAACTTAAACTCAACTTACCTTGGATCAATTTTCGCAGCATGATTCATGGCATCAAAGAAATTGGTATTTTTAGGTGAAGTCAAGGAGATGTTGAATTCCTGGGATACCGATGATCCAATCCATATTGTATAGGTATACGAGACTTCGTCACAATTACTCAATTCTTTGATATTCCTTGCGTCAATTTCTTTGGCCATTGCAAAATTTAGCAAATATAATGCCATAAAAATTGCAGAAAGCCAACGCCAATATTGCCCGTTACGTTGTTGAGTCATCTTGCAAAATTTTACAAATGATAAGACAAGTGACGATATCAATTCTTTATATATTCTCTTGAATTGCGTTGTGATATTAGAAAGTAGACACCACAATGTGTATACATTGTGGTTGTTTCGCTCTTTTTTCAAATACGAAATGATGTAATTAAATAAACCATTTCTTAGAATTCAGCCAAGTGTTTTGCTTATCACTGAAAACAAGTGTAAGATTTTTTAATTATTGTATTTTTTGCTGGGAATTATTGACCTCTTTGTTTCTATTTGTAGAATCGTACACTATCTGCATAAATGCCACTTTTATTTGGATGACTTTCATTTTTGGACGAGTTTTTATTTTAAGATTCCATATTTATTAAATACAGGATTGGAGGATCGGACCATAATTGCGACCTGTACATAGCTAGATCGACTCAGCTCGGCGAGATAGGAAGATCCATATATACTTTCCTATATGGGAAATCAATATTTCGAGGTGTTAATAATTTTTGGCCCAATCAAACTTATAATATCCCCAACACATAGTGTTGTAGGGTATAAAAATGTAAATGTATTTTCAAATACAAGTAGATTTTTATATGTTTTCTTATACGACGTCATTCGGAGGTTATTATAATACGCGTTTTTCAACATTTTTTACAAATTTAAATATTTATTCATTCAACATTTTTAATTCCAAAATTGATTTGACAGTTCATTGTCCCAGCAGCTGTGTCGATGCGACTACCTGTATTCTTCTGCCATGTTAGGAATGATTGACCTCTTTGTTTCTATTTGTAGAACCTTACACTATTTGCATAATCGCCAATGTTATTTGGATGACTTTAATTTAATTTGTGGACGAGTTTTTATTTTAAGATTCCATATTTATTAAATACAGGATTGGATAAACAAAGTCAAAGGCCATAATTTTTACATTTTTTTAAATTTTATTGAATGAAAGCACGGTAAAATTAAGAAGGTAAAGTCATTTCAAATAAGCGTACCCATGGTAGAAAACAGGTAGATGCATCAACGCTTGGGTGCATTGATATGTCAAAAAATTTAAATGTTTTTTCAAATATAAGTAGATTTTTACATGTTTTCTTATACTACGTCATTCGGAGGCTCTTATAATTCGCGTTTTTCAACAATTTTTACAAATTTAAATAATTTTTCATTAAAAATTTAAAATTTCAAAATTGATTTGACAGTTCATTGTCCCAGCAGCAGTGTCGATGCGTCTACCTATATTCTTCTACCATGGTACCATCTTTCCATTTTCTGCTATTTACCTAGTCAAATTTCACTGCTTAAAAAAAGCTTTCCATCTCTGATTTGTGCATTCAAAATGGTTTTCTAAATAAATATTTTGACAATAAAATGTTGTCAAATGAATAATTTTGAAAAAAAAAAAAAAAAAAATTGGTTGCATGACATCACCTACTTGATTTTTCCATAGAATGAAAGCAAAAATATCGGAAATAGCTTCAAATTTTAAAATAGGCTTAGATTTATTCGAATTGGTCACCTTTGGCACGAATTATGACCTTCAAACGGCCAATGAAATCGTCACACGCTGTTCGAATATTGCTCTGCGGTATTTTGGTCCGACACTTTCGACAATTTGGTATTTTTTAATGCCAACCTTGCTTTCCAAAATACTCCAGACATAATAGTCCAACGGATTGGTACCCGGAGATTTTGGTGGCCTTGGGCGCTGGAAATGAAGCGAGGAACCTCATTTTGTAACCATTCTTGGGTGGCGCGATATGAGCGCGATGGTGCTGAGTCCTGTTGGAATGTCTAAGGTCTGCGGTCAAAATGTTTGCGCGCCTAAGGCTTTAATACACCCTCCAGAACATTTTCGCGATAATATTCGGCATTTTTTCTGATGCCACGTCGATTAATTCGAGCGGAGAGCGACCATCGGCTGTTATGGCCCACACCATTGGTGCCCAACCGAAGGTGCATTTTTTCAGCTGACCTATTTGGCAAGTAAACACGATCATTTTGTTTGTTTACAAACTGCTGGATAACTAATGTTTTCTCATGGTACAATAAAAAAGGTAAGGTAGAGCTCCCAGCTTTTTTTCTAAGTGGGCCCGACTTTTGCCAATATTGTGTATGTATTTGTTGAATAAAAAAAAAACAAAATATTTTCAAAATTAATGATTTGAAGAAACTTAAATGGCAGGGGCGCGCATTAATAATATTAACCAGATTTGCATTTCTGACAGGAAGCGGGCATAGCCTCAGTGTTGTAATTACGAAGCTGTTATACCTCCTTATTGTACCATGTGTTTTCTCATCGGAGAAAACCAAATTCGGTAGTTCACCACTTTCGGCCAAGCGAAGTAAATCTTTAGCTCTTTTGAGTCTATTTTCTTTCTGTTGCGGTGTAAATTCTTGCACTTTTTGGAATTTCAATGGCTTTACCCCAAGCTCATTTTTCAATATTTGCCGAATGGAATATTGCGATATGTTCAGCTCACGAGCCATTTTTCGGCCACTGCGACACGGGTTTCGATCAAGTCGCTTCTTTACTTTTGGAACCATTTCTGCTGATGTTGCTGTTTTCTTCCGTCCACTTTCTTGAAGTCGGGCTACGCTACCAGTATCACGGTAACGAGCGATGGTACGAGACGAGACACAAAAGATTTATTCACATTTAAATGCTGGAGTGCTCTAAAGATAGCCACTTGATTAGTGGTTTCCAGGCAAATATAAAGAAATCACACGCTTGAATTCCATCACGAATAAGTTTTTTTTTTTCTGGAAAATTCTCACCAAAATGCTTTTGCACGCTTGTAAACAATATAATGAGCTATCGCTGGAATAATTTTAACAGCTGTCGGACGAATGGCTTCATCTTACCCTGTATGTATTACGCTTCTAGGACAACCTATGGCTCAATAAGAAATGTTGTTCAACTTCAAAGCAACTAGGAAAATGCAACTCTGTGCTGGAGTATTATTATGCCAAGTAGACATTTAAAATTTAAAAGTTGGTTTTGTTTATTTTATATTTTTTCAAAAAATATTGGGGAAAAAATACAAAATTATTGGGTATTAGGTATCCATGGGCAATAATTTTGTAGTTTTTGCAAAAGTTAAAAATATTGGGGGAAAACTACAAAATTATTGGGTATTGGTTATCCGCAGGCAATATTTAAAATCCCTAACAAATGAGAACATTTATCGAAAAAAATTATGACATTTAAAAATTCAAAATTAAAAATTTTATAACATTTTCATATTTCAAAAATTATGAATGAACAATAAAATGTTGAATGGCGTATGAACATCCAAGAGTTGGAATATTTGCAGAAAGCAAAAAAGGGGACACTTTTTGTCAGAAATTTTGCAAAGTAAATTGACAAGTTTCTCTCCAGCACAAAAAAATCACCCAAAAAATATTCAGTGTGTCAACTTTTACAGAAAAGTGTCAAAACATGAATAAATGTTGTGAAATAATGATAAAATAGTTCTTTGGAAGAAAGATAATAATTTTTTCTGTTCATATTAAGCGAATTTCATATGTTTTCATTCAAATTCCCATTAAAATTAAAAAACAAACGTTTTGAAAAATGGAATTATGTATTACGAATCATGCCGTATGAACTGATTAATTTGTGTATTTAATTCTGAGAGCGAACAGCGTGATTGAAATTGCAGTGAGAACATAGCATTATTATATTTTGTTCATACGACGAATATTTTATTATGAACGATAGTGTGTGTCATCGATTGCCTACCATCTCTGGCACCGGTGTTATGTGAAGGAATTGACATTTACCTTCTCACAATTTTAAAACATTGAAAATTGAATAAAAAACGAACATGAAATCTAAATACATTGGAGCGGGTAGCGGTAAAAAGGCCTATGTTGCTGCCGGTGCCACAACCATGGGTTTATTCCTCTTCAACTACCTGCCGAACAGCTTTGGCCTGGAATACTACAAAGACTTCCTGCAATGCTATAAAAATGGTGAACCGGTGAAAATATCACCAAAAATCCTGGAAAGATTTGAGAGGGCAAAGGAAATATGCGGCTTGGAGGCACACGAACAGACGCTAGTGAAACCATTTTCAGTATTTGGTTTTGAAGTATCATTGGTGGGATGTACCAAGACCAAATTTGGTGCCATTGTGGGCATTCCGGCGAATTTTGAATATGACAGTGTCAACGATATAAAACGTAGTGAAATACGTTTTCGTGATCAAGCAATCGACTGGAAATCGGAAAGTGGTAAATACTTGGAACAGGCACTCATCCTCACCGAAGAAGAACAAATATTTGCCTTTTGCAAGGCATTGTTGCAGGCCAAAAGCAATTATGTGCTAATGAACTCGTTGTTTCCATCCTTGTCGTTTCTAACCGTGTACACGGTAGGCAGTTATTTGAATTCAAGTTTGGGTCTCTTGGCGAGGCCGTTTAGTTTGCGTTTTGTTATGTACACAATTTTGGGCCTGTTTGGTCTTGGAACCTGGTGTTTTATGAAAGACTTCAATCAAGTGTCACTCGATGCTGATATTGACAAGGAGTTGTCCGCCAAAGGTGAACGTTTTGTCCAGGCCGGAGTTAGTTACTACGACAAGCAGTTGAAGAAAAATGTTGCCTTGAGAAATCTGTTGAAAGATGACACCTTTACGGCAAATGGAAATGTTAATTATCTATTGCGTCAAAAATCATTACCACTAACAATAAGAAAATCATATTTTGAGGAAAAGTTACAAGAAAATGTTACTGCGACGAATTAATAGAGAATGGAAAAGAATACAATCTTGCTATGGATCATTAGTTGGTCTGTTTCAGAACTGCAAGAATGTAAAAGTTTTTACTACGATGACCGATTTTCCCTTTGTGATATCGGAAAAAAATTCAAAACTAGTAGGTTCTTGCAGGTTTTGGAACAGACCAATTGTTGGTTAAAAATGAAGGTAGAGATTTATTTTTGTTTGGATTCACTAACTTATTGATCAGATTATAATATCTAAAGAGTTTAACTGTCATTTCCAGAGCTTCCAGCTGAATTTTCTCAAAATGCCTAGAAATAAATCAACCTTAAAAAATGTCCATAGTAAGTCTGTTTGTTTTGGGTTCCCTAGTCATAAAAAGTTTTATAATTCCCTGTACCCCACGAATGTACAATAAAGTTGTTAACCATTAATGTTTACCAAACTTGTTAATTTTCAAATTGTTTTAATCTTTTAAAAGCATAATGATGAATAGGATTTCCGGAAGGCCAGACGCACGAATATGGGAGAGATACTTACTTGCGTAGAGCAATATCAAGGTTCTGTTTTCCGATAGTTTCTCATCAATCTGCACCCAAAACGAATTGAAGCGACTACACTACCATGGACATAATTGTCCATGTGTAATCTAGACAGCCGATGATGTGTGGAATGGACTGCGGAGACAACTTTTATACTTTAATAATTCTCAGATCTACCTGATAAACTTGTTGATGTATAGATTTTTTTATAACGTTAAAGATACTTTCTCAATCGTATAGGTTATTTCTGACCCTCTTGGGCATTGGAGTCCTATCTATCATTGTTAGGATTACTTCCACGGATAGACCTAAGCTAATACTGCAAAAAAAACGTGTTAAGTCATGTTGATGCATTGTTAGAGCCACACACACATTTAGCTGCATTCTTATCATCGGAGTTCAAATGGTTGGTGGTGGATATTTTCATATTCCCCGCATCGAAGAAGGCTATCGGTTGGAAAAATGCGTATATAGTCGCCTATATACCATTTTGAGGAGTCCTACTACAGAAAGGAAATATAAAAGCCTAAATATAACTGGATGCATGGTATTGATGACAATTTGGTGAAAATCCTCCTGGAAAAGAACAAAATCTGTCTTTTTCTTTAACGAAAGCTGCCTTAAAACTCGTGGTGATGACTTTCCACATATTATTGTTTTCCAAACGCTTTATAATTTGGTTAAGAAACTCGTTACCAAACTATTACACAACACAATCAGCAGGAAGTAACTCAAGCGAGATGGATCTATATTGAACAGAATGCTATAATGCAGTGTAAGATGAAAAAACCGCAACCAACTTCAGACTGCTGCCATTTCTAAGCCAGTCCGATAGCTGTTAAAATTATTCCAGTGACAGCTCATTATATTGTTTACAAGCGTACAAAAGCGTTTTGATGAGAATTTTCCAGAAAAAAAGTTATTCGCGATGGAATTTAAGCGTAACAGTGTGATTTCTTTATATTGGGCTGGAAAACCATAAGTGGCTATCGTTAGAGCACTCCAGCATTTAAATGTGAATAAATCTTTTGTGTCTTGTACCATCGCTCGTTGCAGTTATACTTTTAGCGTAGCCCGACGTCAAGGAAGTGGACGAAAAACAAGCAACATCAGCAGAAATGGTTCGAAAAGTAAAGAAGCGACTTGATCGAAACCCGCGTCTCAGTGGCCGAAAAATGGTTCGTGAGCTGAACATATCGCAACATTTCATTCGGCAAATATTGAAAAATTAGCTCGGGATAAACCCATTGAAATTCCAAAAAGTGGAAGAAGTAAAGAGCTAAAGAGTTGCTTCGCTGAATTGAAACAGTTGAACTGCCGAATTTGATTTTCTCCGATGAGAAACCATTCGTTGACCAGCAGTTTGTAAACAAACAAAATGATCGCGTTTACCTGCTAAAGAGGTCAGCTGAAAATGTGCACGTTCGTTTGGCCACCAGAACTCAAGCGCGGGTCATGGGGATGGTGTGACCCGCCATAACAGCCGATTGTCGCTCTCCGCTCGTATTAATCCATCGTGGCATTAGAATAAATGACGAATATTATCGCGAAAATATTCTGGAGGGTGTAATAAAGCCTTGGGCACGCAAACATTTTGGCCGCAGACCTTGGACATTCCAACAGGACTCAGCACCATCGCACTCAGCACGCACCACCCAAGAATTGTTACAAAATGAGGTCTCTCGCTTCATTTCCAGTGCACAATGGACATCAAAATCTCCGGATACCAAGTGCCTGGAGTGTTTTGGAAACAAGGTTGGCACTAAAAAATACCAAAGTGTCGATCACCTCAAGCCAAAATATCGCAGAACAACATTCGGGCAGCGTGTAATGGTTCCATTGGCCGTTTAAAGGCCATAATTCGAGCCCAACGTAATCAATTCGAACAAATCTAAACTTATTATAAAATTTGATGCTATTTTCGACATTTTTTGCTTTCATTCAATAAAATTAAAAAAATGTAAAAATTATACCAACCATCCTAGACACAATACAAATAGCTCTGCCAAATTTTGAAGCTCTATGTCAAATAATGTGGGCTGTATCGTTATTTCAACGGACAGACAGACGGACATCGTTAAATCGATTTACAATTTTATGCTGATTATGAATATATATATACTTATACGGGTCTACGACGAATATTTAGGGATGTTACAAATGGAATGATAGTTATTTTTTCAAAAAAAGCCCCGAGAGAAAGACTGTTCTATTTTCTCTTTTGGATTCCATAACATAATTTGATTTTTTTATGGCAAAGCCAATGATTTTCTTCGGAGATCCTTCCAGTTGCCTATGGTACAACAAAAAGGTAAGGTAGAACTTTAACATGTGCCCGACTTCTGCCAATTTTGTGTATTTGTTTATTGTTTTGAAAAATAAAAACAAAATATTTTCAAAACCAATGCTTGGAAGACAGCGCATTAAACAGTTTAGCTATGAAATTTAAAGATTGAATAGTTTGAGATAAAATCCGGGCATTTCATTCATTTTTTCGCGCCATTTGACTCATTTTAAAAATGAGGAAAAATATGAAAATAGCCTTAGGGCTGTATTTTTGTAGTTTTACTAAGCTGTTCTACCTCCTTATTGTAACATGCCCACTAGAAGTTTTCTTCGTTTATCTATAAAAAGGCAATTATTTGGTTTATGTTAATTGATTTCTAAAAAAATTGAAAATTTGGATTGAAAAATTATTCAAATTTGTAAAAATTGTTGAAAAATGCATATCATAACAACCTCCGTTTGATGTCGCATACGGAAACTTATAAAAATCTACTTATTTAAAAAAAAAAAACATTTTAAAAATTTTGACATATCAATGTTTCCAAGCGTTGATGCATCTTCTTCTACCATGAAGCATTTATATAAGTATTTATACGAAAATTTGCATACTTGACAACAAAATAATAAAATACTGATGTATTATATTGGGAAAATAATGAAATTAAATTAACATTTAAACATACATATTTTTAAAGAACACTGATTAAGTAAATCTTTACTTTTGTTGACGTCGCATTTTTCTCGATCTTTGGACTTTGGTGGCTTACGTTGAAAATGGAAGCTTCTACTTGTGCGGTCAATTGAACCGGCAGAGTAACAGCAAAGACGATTTGAGACATTGCAAAATTTAAATAATAAAATAAAATAAAAAATCCCTTTCCATAGACAATAAAAACGTACTTGTGTTCATATAGCTTTGTGTGTATGTGTAAATCATTGCTGCTTATCACTTCCAATGAAAGTGTTTTTTCGTTGAAAAATAATTTAAAAATTTTTTTATTTTGGTTCGTTATCAAATTTTGTTGTGGAATTTTTCATTTCGGTACTTTCACATTTTTTAGACAAAATTCAGAACCTTGGCTTGGTTCAAGTAGAAATGCACTGACCTTTTTTGCTGATGCAATAAATGGCGTTGTGCTTGGTCCGTTGGTCATGCCATTTGAATATGGTTGCTTATATGTTTTAATCGATCTATGTTTGCTTTGTATGTTGACGTAATGAAAATATTAATGTTTCTTTAGACAACTACGCTTTAACATTAAAATAAAATGATTATTTTGAACTGTTTTTATGCCGCAGGTTTATGATTCCTGGAAATGTTTTAATAAAATCCCCAGTAAATCCCTGTTTTGAAAATTGTAGTGTATGTCCATAGCAAATTTTTGAGCGAATAGCCAAATCAAAAGAATTGAAACAAACAAATTAGAGCAAATAAATATAATTATACATCATATAGGACTAAATTGTATGGTTTTGGATTTTTCATAAAATCTACAATTTTTTCCATTGAAATCTTTTGGCATAAATTAATTAAGTAAAGAAAAGTCTTAAAAGTTTTGAAAATAAAATCGTTTGAATCCTTGGTTTATTATCAGAAAGTCTTTAAAAATCAATGAATAAAAAAACCAAAATATTTTTTAACAAGTAAAAAAGCAGCTAAGTTCGGCCGGACCGAAATTTTTATACCCTCCACTATTTCGAAGGAAATTGAAAAATTTCAAAAACTACCACTTAAATGAAAACCGTTATATGGGGACTATACGTAGACGTGGACCTGCATACGAAATGTTTTGTCATAGGTTGTAGTGCCCATTATGAACTTCAAATACGAAATTCGAAATAATTCCGGTAAATAATGTCGCTAAAATCATCAAAATACCGAATATTGGAGGGTACCGTTATATGGGGGCTATACGAAGAAGTGGCCCTGCACAGACAATTTTCTGTCATAGATTGTAGTATCCATTACGAACTTCAAATACCAAAATTGAAACCATTCCGGTTAATAACGTCGCTAAAATCATCAAAATACTGAATATCGGGAGGTACCGTTATATGGGGGTTATGCGAAGACGTGGACCTGCACAGACAATTTTTTGCCTTAGACAGCACTATCCATTACGAACTTCAAACACCAAATTTGAAATATTTGCGGTGAATAAAGTCACTAAAATCAAGAAAGTAGCGAATATCGGTAGGTACCATTATATGGGGGCAATACGAAGACGTGGACCTGCACAGACAATTTTCTGTCATAGGCTGTAGTACCCATTTCGAACTTTAAATGCCAAATTTGAAACATTTCCGGCGAATAATGTTGCTAAAATCATCAAAATACCGAATATCGTGACCTACCGTTATATGGGGGCTATACCAAAACGTGTACCTACATGGCCCATTTTCAATACCAAAAGTCCTGCAGACATAATATACATTTGAGCAAAATTCAATTCGTTCGGAAGCTAGAGTGATTTCCACAGATTGACAGACTGACGGACATCGCTAAATCGACGTAGAATTTTATTCTGATCAAGAATATATATACTTTGTGAGGTCTAAAAGGTATATTTCGAAATTTTAATTATTGACCTCAAGCTGTCCTTAAATAATCCACAATTTTTCCCATGAAGCTCACAAAAAAAATTAAATAAACCAACTGAAACCTTTCCAACACATTGAGTCGAAAAAATATTGGACCAAATTGGAGACCCTTTTGACATTATACTAGATTTGTTTTTTTTTTTTAAATAATTGTACAGGCAGATCGTAGAAAAATATTGGTCAACCTTGATCTGTCAACAACAATAGATGCTGTCAATCCTTCCTTCAAATTGAGCGGCATTCGTGCTTAGAATTTTTTGTTTAGAAAGCTAAGCACCGCGATGTGAAAAATTAAAACAATTTGGGAATTCGTGGAATCCCTAGCCTTCTTCATAAATTCCCCATTATATTTTTATCAGTTTGTCTTTTGCTGTGAATTAAACACACGTTAATCTATTTTTAGTTTTAAATAAATATTTTTTTATTTTGATTTCAATTATATTTATAGTGTTTGTAATCTACTTAAGTGGCTTCTCTTGGTACATAATAATCTGAATTCTAATTAATAATAATAATATAATGATATGTCTAATAGCTAGAAACTGTTAAAAAAATAGAAACATTTCAAATCTTTTAACATTTTATAATAATCTTAATTATGGCTACTAAATATATTTAAACTTTGAACTACATGTTTAATACACACACATTTAATTCTATTTGTTTTTTTTTTTTGTTAGAATATTTAACTTCGACAAACAAAAAAATTGAGAGCACTACGGGGAAAGATTTTTATATTATTATTATTGTTGCTGTTAGATTTAAATTCGTTGTTTTAGTTGATGTTCTTTTGGTTTACTTCCATTTCATTATCAAGATCAATGTCCACTTTTTTCTTTATACTGTGGACACTTTTCATTTTTTGAAAAATGAATTTTTAAATAGAATTCTTATCGTTAACATTTGTTATTAAATATTAAATAAATGTGTAATGCCTTTACTATTTTAATTTTTAAATATTTCATTTAATACATTAAAACTTAATCTTAGTAACTGTTTTTAAGTAAGTAGCTATGTTGTGGCCATAATTTGGATGCAATTTCTTTGAGAACGTTTTTTCTTGACGTAATCCATGTACTATGCGGGAATATGGGTCCTTAAATAAACTGAAATTATATAGAAATAAGAAATTATTAGATTTTTAGCATTTTGAGTAACAACAGTTTTATTAATATTTAAAATGAAATTAGTAGCTAAATTATTATTTTGTTTTATTATACAGGGTGAGATAAAAAGACATCAACATAGCCAAACACCATAAAATTGACATTTTTATGGCCTCCACCATAGTATGGAGGGTATATTAACTTAGTCATTCCGTTTGTAACACTTGTAACACAACCACACAAAGTATATATACTCTTGATCTGATTCCGATATTCGGAATTTTGATGATTTTAGCGACATTATTCACCGGAATTGTTTCAAATTTGGTATTTGAAGTTCGTAATGGATATTACAGACTATGCCAGAAAATTGTCTGTGCAGGTCCACGTCTTGGTATAGCTCCAATATAACGGTACCTCCTTATATTCGGAATTTTGATGATTTTAGCTACATTATTCCCCGATTTTTTTATTCAAGTTTCGCATTTGAATATTGTAATGGTTTATGACAAAAATGCCTTTGCAGGTCCACGTCGTCGTATAGACACTAACATAACGGCTACATTCGATATTTTTAAGATTTTAACAGAATTGTTAACGGATTTTATTTTTTTTTGAAAATTGCTAAAATCAAATTTTATTGAATGAGAGCAAAAAAAAAAACAAATAAAAAAGTATCGGTCGGTTTTGCCGACAGATGCATACCCTCAGCCAATGTTCGATTATTTAAAAATATTTTGACTTCTGTTATGAATTTTCAAACTGGAGAGGGATTTTCAAACTGGAGATGGAGAGGGTTTTGAAAAAATGGGTCAATATTGTCCATTTTTTATCGGACATAAATAAATATGATATATGAAAATTGAACATTTATATCCAATTTATGGGAAATCTTAAATTCCATATTCATCTCAGGATTCTGGTTGAGAGACATATATTTAGATATAGCAAGTTGTAAAGAATCGCTGAGTTGTTTTGCAATTCATGACAGATACAAGTATTGAAAATTGTGCCCCTTTGTGGGTGAGGTAACAGAAGGTGTTCGCAGATACATAGCATCTTCACAACAGATCTGGTGTTTTCAAAAATGTTTGTCTGGTGAAAATTGAAGACAGTTGGGTTATTATTTCGCTTTCTTTGAGCGTTTTGATTTTTAAAATCTTGAACGCTATGTGGAGCAGGTTGCAAAAGAAATGGTCGATCTCTACCATCTCTTTATAACAGATCTTGTCTTGATAGAAATATTTTAGATGTACCATGTCTGGAATGGAATCGGATGTTGATTTCGCTTTTTAAGAGTTTTATGGATATTCAATATTTTGAGCGTTTGTGAGGGAGGTACCAGAAGGAGCGGACCGTTATTGTCAATTGTCGCACCAGACCTAGCACTGACGCAAATATTAGGATATGCAAAGTTGGAGCAAAATCGGATTATCGTTTCTCTATATGTGCAAAAAATATTTTTTATTGAAAATTTTGACAATTTGTGGGGTAGGTTCCAGAAGGAGTGGACCGATATATTTCATCTTAACACCAGACTTTGTGTAAATATAAATATTGGGATCTCTGAATTTTGAAGGCAATCGGACTCTTACATCACATATTATGAGATTTGTAATTATTTAAAATTTTGACCCTTTGTGAGGGAAGTGCCGGAAGGAGTGGACCGATATTGTCCATTTTCGCACAAGGCCTAGCATTGACGCAAATATTAGGATTTGCAAAGTTGGAGCAAAATCAGATTATCGTTCCTCTTTCTGTGCAAAAAAATATATATTTTTGAAAATTTCGACCTTTTGTGTGGGAGGTACCAGAAGGAGTGGACCGATATTGCCCATCTCCGAACTCGATCTAAGTTTGACAAAATTATTGCGATGTACCAAGTTTGGACCAAATCGGATACTCCCTTCGAAAGTTATCGTGCGCACCAGACAGACGGACGTACGGACATCGCTAGTTTGACTCCAAATGCACTGAAACGGATTTAGTCCAAAGAGACCTAGGGTCTAAAATCGTTATTTCGACTAGGCACGTAGCCATATGGCTGACGGTATAAATATCGGAAATAGCATGTTTGCAATGTTTGCGTGCCCAAGGCTTTAATAGACGAGCGGAGAACGACCATCGGCTATTATGCCGACCCACACTATCAGCATGGCCGGTGCTTCAGTTCTGGTGGCCAACCGAAGATGCACATTTTCAGCTGACCTCTTTGTCACGTTCACATACGATAATTTTGTTTGTTTACAAACTGCTGGACAACGAATGTTTTCTCATCAGAGAAAACCAAATTTGGCAGTTCACCACTTTCGGAAGCAACTCTTTAGCTCTTTTGAGTCTATTTTCTTTCTGTTGCGATGTAAGTTCTTGCACTCTTTGGAATTTCAATGTCTTTACCCCGAGCTCTTTTTTTCAATATTTCCCGAATGGAATATTGCGATATATTCAGCTCACGAGCCATTTTTCGGACACTACTACGCGGGTTTCGATCAAGCCGCTTTTTTACAGCTGTCGGACGAGTGGCTTAGAAATGACAGCAGTCTGAAGTTGGTTGCAGTTTTTCATCTCAGCCGCATCTGGCCGCAGACCTTGGACTTTCAAACAGGACTCAGCACCATCGCAATCAGGACGCGTCACCAAAGAATGGTTACAAAATAAGGTTTCTCACTTCATTTCCAGCGCACAATGGCCACCAAAATCTCCGGATTGTGTCTGGTGTATTTTAGAAAGCATGGTTGACACTAAAAAATACCAAAGTGTCGATGACCTCAAACAAGCGCTTCGCCGGGAATGGGCCAAAACACCGCAGAGCAACATTCAGGCAGCGTGTAACGGTTTTATTGGCCGTTTGGCCACAATTCGTGCCAAAGGTGACCAATGGAAACTAATCTAAACTTATTCTAAAACTTGATGCTATTTCCGACATTTTTTGCTTTGATTCAATAAAATTTAAAAAAAAAAATTAAATTTATGGCGTTTGACTTTGTTGCAGTTTTTTATCCCACCCTGTAAATATTGAGAAAATTTAATGTATATTTTCCAAAAAAAAAACTTACCTTAAAAAACTAATATTTTAATGTATGTATAGCCCTCATAAAAGGCATGCAGTCTTCAATGTTATTCTACATTGGTATCAAAACACATTGATGGATGTGTGTAAGTATTTGTGAATCAGGTTAAGTATTGTCCTAATGTCTAATTTGTTCATTATTTATTTATTTTTTTATGAAGAACACAAGCCAAATGATTGCAAAAAGTAAACGTTCTAGAGCATCTTTAACATCGGCATCGTCATGGTCATTGGTGTGTGTTTTTCAGATTATGAACACAAACCCAAACACACACACACATAACCAGCAGCGGCAGCCGCAAACTTGTGTCAAGTTCACAAAAAATAAAAAAAACGAACCACAGAAAATATGTTTGGTATTCTTAAAATTTCTTATTGTTCCTTAAGTGGGCTTTCTGTTTTATCTGCTCCTGTACACAGGTACCATTCGTGGCCCGCTCCAGGCAAACTCGTTCCTTGGCCAACACAAAACATTGAGTCTGTACCATATTGAAGAAGAGCTGTCCAATTGTTTTAGCATCCTCATCGTTGGCCATTTTCAGGCAGGTGCGAAAACGGCGATCACAGCTACAATGCGACAGTGTGTATGGGCGATAATTGAAGAGACCATAACGAGTGCTCATCGCGGCAATGAAAAGTTTGCAATGATCATGTTTACGACAGCACTTGTCAGCCATTGAGGCACCGCCTAGGGTATTGTAGGTACCATTAGCCAAGTTGCCCCGACCGCACCAACGTGTGTTGGGCGCAATGAGCCAATCGGACAATTCACGTTTCTGGCGTGAGAGCAGAGTTTCTTGCTCCATGTTCTCAATTGTGTTTTCATTGTTATGTATGCTGATGCTACGGCTGCCGCTTCCAACGCCACTGGTGGTTACGACGTCATCGTTTTTATCGTATGATGTATGATGTCGTAGACGACTGGTTTTTGCATGCATTGCATTTATTTGGCTATGAGTATGGGTTTTGGCACCGGCAGTGGTGCCATAGTCATCGCCGGTGGTGACGGTGGCGGTGGTGGTAGCCTTAGTTCCATTAAAGTTTGTGTGATATTTAACACTACTTTGTTGCCTTAATAAGGGATTTTCAGGGGATTTGTGTCGCTGTTTCATTTCTAGGGTATCCACGAATTCATTTCTGTTCGTATATTCTGGAACACTGCCGCCGATATGGATTGTCCAAATTGTTTGTATGCACAAAATTGCCAAAACTAATGCAATTCTCAATGGTCCAACTGTCATGATGCTTCTTCTCCTGCTCTCCTATGGGCACACTTTGTGAAATGTTGACCGTTATTTTGTTTTTATTTTTTGAACAAATGTTAAGTGGTTGCTAATAAATCCTATTATTTCTAATGGTTCTCTATCCTCCCTCTCTCTGTCTCTCTTTTCTTAGGGGGTTTCTATTACGTTAATTGACAACCTTCCACTTGAGAAAACTTTCATACACACACACAATCGAAACACTCGAAAAATGTTTCTTTCCGTTTCCTTCGTTACGCGTTTAACTTTGCCGAGGCTTTACTTGTCGTCGTCGTCGGTGTTGTTTCCCGCCTGTTGTTCTTCTCACGTTCAGGTTTTTTTTCTGACTGCCTTCGTTTATTATTCGATTGTTCATTTATATATTGGCCACCACTTTGGGAGGTTTGTTTTGCTAATTTTTCGTTGGTTTGAGATTATTTTTCATTGGATTTTTTTGCTCCCACTCTGGTGTTCTCTCGCTCTCAATTCAATTGTGAATTGAAGAAAAACAAAAAAATGCCGGTCAGCATATGAGAGCTAAGTGTTTTAAGAGAGAGAATAATTTTAAAATTTGAGGTGACCAGGAAACAAAAATTGCACAGGCTTATTTGATTTTAACCGGAAACTCATCTATATATTCTATTGATAGCATGTCTCGTACAAAAAGATGAAACTTAGGCTTCCCTGCAAATAATACGACTACTCCAAACACGCGTCCATAACAGACAAAGACTAGTCCAAAAATAACCCGAATACATTGAAAAACCTAACCAATTGTACATTACGATGTCCTAATGCTGGACATCGTTGCATTACATCAAAGTAGTCTCAAAACTACTCCACTTCATAGCTCTGTTGTACGCCTCAGAAGTTTGCCTGCAAGAAACGAGAAGTTTATTCGCAAAGGCAAATAAAACAGGAACATTTTCCGTTACTTAACTAGGATATTTATACCCTCCAGAGGGTAAATTAACATTGTCATTCCGTTTGTAATATCCTTAAATATTCGTCGTAGACCCCATAAAGTATATATATTCAAAATCAGCATAAAATTCTAAGTCGATTTAACGATGTCCGTCTGTCTGTTGAAATCACGATACAGCCCACATTATTTGACGTAGAGCGTCAAAATTTAGCAGAGCAATTTGTATTGTGTCTAGGATGGTTGGTATTGAAAATGAGATATATCGGTCCCCGTTTTGGTACGGTAACCTCCCGATATTCGGTATTTTCATGATTTATGCCACAGTTTTTTTTTAGCTCCTTTGGCGAAACATTACATGTTTAGGTCCACGATTTGGTATAGCCCCCATATAAGGGTACCTCCCGATATTCGATATTTTGATGGTTTTTTCCACATTTTTTCACTGATTTGTCTAAAAATTGGTATTTGTAGGTCATAATAGGTCCTTGTTCGTGTTGCGAAACATTGTATGTATAGGTCCGCGTTTTGGTATAGTCCCCATATAACGGTACCTCCCGATATTCGGTATTTTGATGATTTTTGCCACATTTTCTCATGAATATGTCTAAAAATTGGTATATGTGGGTCATAATGGAGTCTAATGTTTCCTTTACCCGGAGGTGGAGGGTATTAAAAGTTTGGCCCGGCCAAATGTTTTAATGTTTTTTAATGTTTTTTGCTTGTTTTTTTTTTTTATTCCCTCCACCATTCTATGAAGGGTGTATTAGCTTTATCATTCCGTTTGTAACTCCTCGAAATATTCATGATGAGATCCTACAAAGTATATATATTCTGTATCAGCGTAAAATTCTAAATCCGTCTGTCTGTCTGTCTTTCTGTTGTAATCTTTCGAACGAATTGAAATAGAAGGCTAAAATTTTGCATATATGTGTATTTTGCCAGTAGGCAGGTTAAGTTCGTAAAAGGACCATGTAGGTCCACGTCTTCGTATAGCCCCCATATGACGGTAGCTCCCGATATTCACTATTTTCCTGATTTCAGCGACATTATTTACCGGAATTATTTCAAATTTCGTGTTTGAAGTTCGTAATGGGTACTACAGCTTATGCCTAAACATTTCGTATGCAGGTCCACGTCTTCGTATAGCCCCCATATAACAGTACCTTCCAATGTTCAGTATTTTGATGATTTTGACGACATCATTCACCCGAATTATTTCAAATTTCGTATTTCTAAAAATTTCGTATGCAGGTCCACGTTCTCGTATAGCCCCTGTATAACGGTACCTCTCTATGTGTTCCTTACTTTTGTTAAAATCATTGATTTATATTTAGCAACCATGGATGTCTCCACCATTGGGAGCTGTACATTATCTGACGAATGCTCTTCTTCGAATCAAAGGAGGATAATTTTTCTCTCTTGAAGCCTATGATGATTTTCAATCGGTTGTCAGGTTGATTGATTGTGAAACGGAATTTGAAGGGTTGATCTCTAGTTTTTGATATTTTTTATGATATTTTCGTACTCTCTGGGAAAAATAGTAATCTCAGAGAAAACTTAAAAATGTCAGTAGTTTGTGAATCTTCCGACCTACGTTTTCCCTGCATTCGTCGTCCTGAAATGTAAATTGAGTTCGGAGACCCTATATACTATTTCCCGTTGGGTGTCGGGATATTGTATATTTTTAATATCCTCTAAAAGACATTAAGTACGAGAAAATCAAAATCAATCGGTCCAGAACACCAAAAGCATGGATGGGCAAGTATGCACGCTAGCGTTGAAGTCTCTTTTTTTCCGTCATGTGTAAAACATCAATAAACATACAGATACAACTAATTTTTAACAATCCTTTCTAGCAATTTTTGAGGGAATTTCGATTATATTTTTGTTAAAAATTATTAAATAAGTGTAAATGCAACATAGAAAAGTTATTTCAAAATTCTCCCTCTCTCTTTCATTATTTTGCCCATTTGATAGTAAATAAAATTATTATTTGAAATTTTCGAATATCAAGCAGCTGATTTTTAATCAGCTTTAGGAGTGCTCGTTTACTCGATAATTTGTACAAATTTTTACTGGACGCTCTTCGAGTCCGTTAAGTGAGAGTGAAATGAGAGATAAATTTTGATATTTGAGTTACTGAGAATTGGAAAACTGCGTCAAAATATTTCTGCTGTAAGATTTGCGCCAAAGTTGTTTCGATAAATCACCTGTTACCTTAAAAATGTTTTGAAAGATGATGTTTGTTTATTTTTTGCAATTTTTCTCTCTAGAAGGAGAGAAAAATTCGTATTTTTTTCTCAGTAAAATTTTACTGAGTAAATCTTACTGGGAAAGTAAACGAACGATTTGTCCATTATGAATTTGCAAAATCTCAGTAACTCGACTGTCAAAATTGCCCTTTTTCTGATTCTAATTTACTGGATTTTTGGGTTATCGAACAACTTTTTGTAATAACTTTTACAAATTGGGTTTTCGTACACACGTAATATGCTGGAAGTTGGCCAAATCAGTACTTATTTTTTTTTTTTGTTAAGAAGTCAGCTGAAACTTTCTAAAAAAGTTCCCATATCGTTTACGAGACAATTGTTTTGTTTTTGTTTTATTTAATTTCATTTTTTTTAATTTAAAAAGTGACCCATTTAATTACGAAACAATGTAATTGGGGTCATTTGAAACGTCGTAAAATTTCAACTTGTGACACGCGACATTTAGTTGCTGAACAGATAATAAAACAAGTAAAAAAACATTAAGTTCGGCCGGGCCAAACTTTTAATACCCTCCACCTTAGGGTAATGGAAACATTAGAACCAACTATGACCCACAAATACCAAATTTTAGACATATTCGTGGGAAAATGTGGCAAAAAAAATCAAAATACCGAATATCGGGAGGTACCGCTATATGGGGCTATACAAAAACGTGAACCTATACATACAATGTTCCGCCAACGGATCTAGAACCTATTATGACCAACTAATACCAATTTTTAAACAAATCCGTGAAAAAATGTGACAAAAACCATCAAAATACCGAATATCGGGAGATACCGTTATATAGGGGGGCAATACCAAAGCGTGGACCTATACATACAATGTTTCGCCACACGAACTAGAACCCATTATGACCTACAAATACCAATTCTCAGACAAATCCGTAAAAAAATGTGGCATAAATCATCAAAATACCGAATATCGGGAGGTACCGCTATATAGGGCTATACAAAAACGTGAATATATACATACAATGTTTCGCCAACGGATCTAGAACCTATTATGACCAACTAATACCAATTTTTAAACAAATCCGTGAAAAAATGTGACAAAAACCATCAAATACCGAATATCGGGAGATACCGTTATATGGGGGCAATACCAAAGCGTGGACCTATACATACAATGTTTCGTCACACGAAGTAGAACCCATTATGACCTACAAATACCAATTCTCAGACAAATCCATGAAAAAATGCGGCAAAAATCATCAAAATACCGAATATCCTGAGGTACCGCTATATGGGGGCTATACCAAAACGGGGACTTATACATGCATTGTTCCGCCACCGGAGCTACAACCCATTATGACCAAGAAATACCAATTTTTAGACAAATCTAAAAAAATGTGGCAAAAATCATCAAAATACTGAACATCGGGAGGTACCGTTATATGGGGGCTATACCAAAACGTGGACCTATACATACAATGTTTCGCCACCGCAGCTAGAACCCACTATGACCAACAAATACCAATTTTTAGACAAATCCATGAAAAAATGGGGCAAAAATCCTCAAAATACCGAATATCGGGAGGTACCGTTATATGGGGACTATACCAAAACGTGGACCGATATATGTCATTTTCAATACCAACCATCCTAGACACAATACAAATTATTCTGCTAAATTTTAAAATAATAATAGTTAAATCGATTTAGAATTTTATGCTGATTATGAATATATATACATTATGGGGTGTACGACCAATATTTAGACATGTTACAAACGGAATGACAAAAAGGTGGAGGGTATAAAAATGTTAGGCAGCACGAGAGTATGGTAACAGATGAGTTATTATTTTTTATACTTTTAAATGTAAATCTCGATTATATCTTATTTATATTAGAGCCTTTGCCTGGTTAAACTTTTTATGATGGTTTATTTGATATTCGATATTTTGATGATTTTAGCTACACCATTCACCCAAATTGTTTTAAATTTGATATCAGGCTAAATGAACTTGGCAATTCCGACGGAATTCAGTCTAGAAGTAAGTACATCAAATTTGAAAATTTGGTGAAAATCGGTTCAGATATAGCCATGGCATAATTACAAAAGGTAGAACAAATCTACCCCCTGATTACAATTTTTTTCTTTTTGTGTATGTGTGTGTATTGTTTTTAATAAAAAATACAATAATTTAAAATTATTTCAAATTTGGTT